CTGAACCAAATATATAGACAGGGTATTATTAATCAACTCTGGTTTATTATAGCAAAATGACAAGGGAATTGAACCTTCTTGAGAGAAGGAATTTTAAAAACATGTTAACACCAATAAGATAAAATTCACTCAAGTGACTAGAACATATCCTGGAGTTCCATTCTAAAAAGTGATACTGATAGCAAAAATTACATTAGATACTAAAATATGTCACTAACCCAAAAGACAAATGATAAACACTAAACTAAAATATAAAATGGCACCACATTTTTGCACCAATTTTGCTTATATTCAATTGATATCGTAATAAACTTAACAGAACAATTTATTCAAGAATATATATATGTTCGCTTACGTTATATGTCAAGCATTTTGGCAAAGGAATTGTATAATCATGCCATGTGTATAAACAATATTATGCATCTAACTTCTAACATTGTGAAAATGATATTACCCATGTTTCCTTTATATAAAATATCTTGAAACAATTTAAAATATCAATAATCTTAATTAGGTTTAATATGATCTAATTCTCAATTTGTTTGTTTGAACAAATAACACATCTAAAGATAAATAATGTACAAAATTTAGAAAGCTTATATTCTGCACCTAATGAGTCATATTAAACTATAACCACAAAACGTTTATTTTTAAATATTCAATCAAATACATTTAAATTGCGTAGTATTCATAAAGCAGAAATTTAATGAATCTATTAAAATAGTTATTCTTTGCTAATTTGGAAGCTGTAATACTAACACCATGAACTTTTTTGACAAACTATACAACCATTTCTTTATTTAGTAACTTCATGTATAGCATCACCTAGATACTCCACATTGCCTGATGTTATACCAGCTACTGATATTCTACCATCTTTAGTTAAATATATAGAATACTCTTTAGTTAACCTTTCAACCTGTAAAATACAATACAGTTCCATAAATATTTCTTAGAGTTGGAGGGGAGTAGAGTAGTATAGGGAAATGAATACTGCTTTATCATAAGACAATAAAAATATTATAAAGAGCCTTTATTTCCTGATACCATAACATGATCCAGAGGTATATTAATTCCTATAAATACATTAATTTTTAGGAATTTACCTGTGTCTGTCAATCAATAAAAGTGGGCGTGTCATAAAGTTTTCAATGTGGACTGGGACAACCATTTGTTCTGTACATATTGAGATATAACCCAGGGATTCAAATAAATGTTTGCTACAAGGCAATAATAGATAAAGTAAAAATTACCTGGTCTGGTTTTAGTCCAGTAAAACAGAACATTCCTATCTGATCAGTGATGTGTTGCCAGTTTCTTGATGAACCAAGATAGGAAAGATGGTCACGTAGTTTAGTTCTCATACTAATAATACGATCTGCCATACCCTTAACATCTACTAACCTATAGTAAATAAATAATTAGTCATACATATACTCAATATTTCACAGGCAGACTTAAATCACTAACTTGACCAATGTTGGGATTGAACCCTGGATCATCTGATTAGCAAGCAGTCATCTACTTCACAACAGGTCCTACATCTGACCAAGAAATAATAATCAAGAGAACCTACCATTCACTTCTAAGTTCAGGATTATTTAATATAGTAGATACTAGTCTAGCACCATGAACTGGTGGATTAGAGTACATTGGTCTGATAATAATTTTTATTTGAGACATGACTCTTTCTTGTTCTTCTGCTGAATTACACACTACAGTAAAGGCTCCAGCCCTTTCACCTGGAAAAAATAGGATGGCAAACTGTAATCAAAGGTGATCTGTTCTATGCACTGACCAGACTTGGTTGATTATATATAATACAGTTTCATTGACATAAAATTGAAGCCACAAAAATGTAACTTAAAAAAAACATTGGTGTGTTACACCAGACCTTATTCACGTCTGGTTTTTGAGACACTGAAAAAGAGGATCATAACACAAATTACGTCATCCAATGATAAGATTGTGATGTCATATAAATGAATAGCCAATTTGACGTCATTAAACACTCGTTAAACAGCAAGAAAATTGGCTTCAAACTGCCATTTCTCTGAAGGTAAAATTCAAGTAAAAGTATCATTAAATAGCTAGAATTAGTGGGATTGGAGAAGGATGCTTTAAAGATGTCAAAGTGGCGATTTACCTTTTTATGGTTAGCGTAAATGAGCCTTGTTATGGATTTATTATGGTGTGAATAAGGTCTATATTACTAAAATGATGACAAAACATCAGATGTTTACAGTTAAAAGGCTTGCTTGTATTTTATTGGTTGGACACTTCCTATTAAGAATTACTGTACAATATTTCACATTACATAATTTACAACAGATGGTAGTCTTGATTATAACACGAAATTGTACCTGATCAGCAAGACGCACCAATACAATGTCTTCAATTGACATAGCTGACATGGTTAAATCTATAATTGTCAAAATCCCACACAGTATAGTCAGGATGCCATTTAAACTAGAGATTAGATTTTGTTTTCTTTCAATGATTATTCTAATACATACCATAAAGTCCCATATTTTTAGCATAGGACTGACACAAAGACAATTCAAGACCTTCTTTGATAAAATGTCGTACAGCAAAGGCATCTTTATCAATATCACCACTAGCAAAACCCTGATAGGCCATGTCGAAAAATGGGTAAAGTTTTTTATTCTTGATTAATTGACAAATCTCCTTCCATTGTTCTGGCTGAAACAAATCATTTAGGATACACAATAAAAGAAAAGAAGGATAGCCACATTATAATTTTGGTTCTAGAAGATTCTTTCTACCAGTTTGTTCTTGGCCGAACACTTTGTCATTGATCTTTCCTGGATTTTGTGTGTCCATTTATAGCTGGGACAGCAAATATAATGCAGAAAGACTTGTTCAAGGTCAAGGTCATTAAAAGTCAGCACTCTAGGAGTGACTCATCTACAGCCAAATCATAACATTTAAAGAATAATTTAATTATTACCCTTGGATCCACCCCAGTAGGATTATGAGCACAAGCATGTAATACAACCACACTACCTTCTGGCATTTTCTGAAATAAATAGAACAATTATATAAATGTCAGAACAACAAGACTCTTCAACCATGCTTAAAGATTGGTGCACACAGATGACTAAACCTTTACCAGAATGTCTTATGATTTTTCTGGTGGCATCACATTATCTGAAGGTGCAGTCAGCCCAGACTTATTTTCATTACACTTGGAGTGCTTAGAGGTCTCCTGCACACTTGCCATATTGAAGCGAGCTGGAGAAACATATCCAATCAATGATTGGGACCACTTGCACACTATATAAACATATCCAAGAAATCCAGAAATTTTATATCAACACACTGTGCATTCAATTACTTACAGATATATCTTCCATAGCTCCTTTAAAATCAAAACCACACGTAGCTGGGTCATAGTATCTATAACTTTTAGTATTCAAACCGGCATGTCTGAAAAACAACATAATACAGTGGAAAATAATTCCAGCAACTTGGTACAAGAAGATTTTTCATAGCCTGAGAAAGAATACTATTATTATATTTTGGGACAGACGATAACACTCCTCAAAATCTATATAATTTCAGAATCTATCCTTATAAAATGTGAATAATTTGGGAAAGACCAATTTCATAATTTGCGAAAGAGGGCTAATAATGAAGATCATGGTGAAAGATTTTGAATATCAGTCTGTTTTTTGCATGTGTTATGTTTTTTAAACAATAATTACTTTTGCTAGCTTTATGTAATATTACAATAAACCAATTACTAATATCAGTGCTTCAAACAAAATAATAAAAGCTTGGCAATTGATCAAATTCAGTTTTATATAAAACCATTTTTTGCAAAAATAACCATGCAGCAATCATTCTGAATCTTCAAAAGCCCTTTTAAATAAATAAATAGTAAAGTGAACTTACTTAAATATTGGTGTATGATTACCCCATGTTGGTTGTGGTAAATAAAAATCTTTACTTTTCTGATACCATGCAGACTAAAATGAAAAGCATGAATAAATTGGCTAGCAAAATGACCTATATAAAGTGGCTTTTCTCCAATATTAGAACGAAATTTTCTACATCTGATGGACCTAATGAAAACTGGTATAGTCATGCAGTGTGCAATGAGGGAAATTTTGTCAGGACAGCAGCATTAGCCTACTCTTTTTCGATTTCCTACTGTGGAGGGATCTTTTACGTGCACAGTCTGTAGCACAAGGGGCCTCGGTTTATCATCACATTAGAACGACTAGATGTGTTTTCCCTGTCATCACTGAATGACTGACTGCCAGGTTTGAACAATCTAACCTATGCTGGGATTGAACCCTGGTCATTCAGGTTAGCAAGTCATTGTTTTACGCACTGAGTATGACAAATATCTATTGATAATTAAAAAAGAAAAATACTTTAACTTACAAAGAAATTTGCTCCAATCCTCAGTGAACCTGTGCCAGAAATACCTTGAACTGTTGCATTCTAAAAAAACCATTAACAAAAATTATTATTAAGACATTAACATAACACATAATAATGGCACAATACATCAAGCCTTTGGCTATTTCAATGAAACTTGGTTATGTACATTGGTGATCTCTTATGACTATTCCGAACTTGATCTCACAAATTTTGATATTGTGTTATTGCCCTTGACTTGGGTAAACAGGATGTCAAAATTGGAAACTAAAGGTTATGTAGACTGATTAACTTTGAATTACATTGCTAAGATATCTATCAAATTTGATTTTCACTATATTTCAGGGATCCCAGTTTTGAACAAAAAACAATAGAAGAAATGGAAAAGATGAGGGGGAGATTTTACTATTTTAAGATGCTTTGAAAGCCAATTCCTATATAGAAATCTTTTCATGTCTCAAACCAAATTTTTACTTTTTTTTATTCCAAAATAACAAAAATGAAAGTCTCGGATTCATGCTATATTCAGATGAACAATATTTTCGGTATTATCCTTGACAGCCAAAATTTGTCAAAATCGGTTATTTAACTAATATAAATATCCATCCCATATCTGTGCTTTCATAACTCTTTAGGGTTATGTTACAAAGTTACATAACACCTGAAATTGAAATTGTTGATCCAGAGACATCAAAAACAAAATTGTGGATATCTTATTAATACTTACTAATTTATTGCCAATGGCATGACTGTTGTCACCAAATGCTAATTTAGCAGATGCTGAACAAAAATCAGGAATTCCAGTTATACCAGCATATTCATGATCTAAATTAGATTCAAAGATAATCTTCTCTGCCTGTAATAAATGAATTAGATGAAGCCAGTTAAGAAATTTCTTTAAAAACAATAACTTTAAACTAAAAAGTCAATATAAATACCAAAGAAAACAAGCATTTTTCAATAATTACGTTGTTTTATGGACTTACAGGCCTATACAGGGATTCTGTTGTAACTTTATGACACCAGCTAAGTCCACTGATGAATATATACTCTTGTTGGCCAAGTTTGACAAGTCAAAATTTATGAGCATTTAACAGGAAGTATCAATTGCGCAAAAAGATAACTATTTTCAGAAGTATTGCATAAAATTATGGTAATAATAAACATAGTTTATTGATAACCTGGATGTGTTGATTATGTGTTGATATAAAAAGATTCTATTTATACAATGGACATGTAATACAATAGACCCAATCATTGTTTGCTGGCATTTCACCAATCTGTACAGTGTTATTAGCTCACCTTTCTAACTGTAGGTAGAATATATGGTTTACCACTGTCATCTCGGTAAGCACCAACACCAAGATTCAATTTCTTTGGATTAGAATCTTTTTTATAGGCTTCTGTTATACCCAGAATAACATCTGGGGGACCCATTTCCACATTGGACCATGATGATGCCCTATATTCACATAACAATTGAAATATTAATTAAAAATTAATTAACAATCAATGCAATATTATCAATATCATAATTTTGTAATGAACATTAAATATTAATATAACAATATATTATATAAACTTATAATTATAACTAAATAATCAAATAATATATATTCACAACTATAGACTGTACAGTACAACACATGCTTATATAGCAATATAAATGGCTGACAATTCTACAATAATCATCAACCATGTACTTAGACTTGAATCTTATCTGTCATCTCACAAAGATTCAAAAAAAAATTTTCATCTGAATTAACCACGCTTCCATCCCTGAAATTACATGTGATGACAGACCCATATTTCAAATTGAAAATTCCCTTCTGTAAATTAATATTTCCAAATATGAATTGGAAAAGTCATTCTAAGACACTCAGTAGGTCTACTATTTTGGAGGTATTTCAGTAAACAATGTGGTCTAGACAGTAGGATAAAGAAAACAAAACCATTATTTCGTGTTTTGGGGTCAGATTATTATCTTGGATTTTATCTTTGGATGTCACCTTGGGTGTTTCATTGCATATTTAATTATATCAAACAAAGTTAAAGGGACAGATGCACCATTTTTTTGACAATAATACCTTAGTCCTAGAAACTTATTTCGATAAGCTTATCAGTATAAGTGTTCACAGCTCACCATTGAAATTGAGCCTTCAAATCCATGTGTGTCCAGAAGTATCCGCGTTTAAATGTTCAAAAAACGAGTAATCTTTCCTTGAGACACTGCCATATATAGAAAAGACATCTTTAGAAATAAGAAAAGAAATTCCTAGTTTGAGATATTATTGAAGGAAGTATAAGATTTTTGTATATTTCTAGTACTTCTGAAGACTATTTACATATATTCAAATCACCCCCCTAAAATGGTGCACCAGTTCCTTTAATAACTAGGGACCTCAAGTGGATTATCAATCACTACACTGGTGCTCGAAACAGAAACAAGGTGTAATTGTTTTTCTTACTGAAATAAAATGTTCTGTAGGACAATCAGCAATTTCAGAGATCTTGCTAACCAATAATTGTTACAAATATGCCTCCAAAATATCTTAAAGCCGTGTTTGTGATTTCAGATATTATATAATCAAGGCCAAGGACCAAGGTTACAGAAAAGATTCGAGACCCTGTGTCAGTGAACATAATACTCAAGTTCAATTTCATGCATTAGTTTCGTGGCTTCAGGGTTAAAAGAAGTGTTGCTTAATGAAATAACAAAACATGTGCTCCCTAACATGAATTAAACAATGACAATTAATAAAATGTCTACTTACGCATGTTTAGCTAAAACACTACAGCTACCAGAGCTGGCATTCAGTAGACTTTTACCGGTCAAAACTCGACAACTTTGAGAAAGGGCCATCTTTTAAGAGTTCAAGGTCGAAATACTCTTTGGAAGGGAGAGAACTCTTGTTTTTAATTTCAACAACAACCACAAATAATGCATGAAGCCAAGCCCAGAGCCGTATATAGAGAGAGTCTGGCCAATTACGTCACAAGGCGCCATCTTGTTACCCTCTCTTAGCTACAAGGCGGCCGACGTTATCCATCGTAAACTCTCTAGAATTTACAGTTTTTAACCGATTTTGATAAAATTTGGTATGTCTATACAAAAACACAAAAAGAAGACAAATTTTGAATTTTAGCACTTTCCAAATATTAATCACCGAAATATTAAACCTGTAATCTTCCATATTAAAATAGCTAGGGCCTAGCTGTATATTCTACAGCTATATGGAACAATAGGCTAATCACTAGTTATAGTTTATGCAACATATTTATAAGTAATATAATGTATAATATAATTCATATTGTTTTTGATCAATAGGCCCGTGTGCCTGACGACTGTCAAAACGGTGCATAAACTATAACCAATGATTTTGTTACATAAAGCTTTAGAATATAGTGAAGTTAGTATTAAAGGACTGAACTCCATCTTTGCCGAAGAAATTTAGTCATCATGAAAATTGCTCAAAGCAAGATGTGCACTATAAATCGTTATCAACAGAAACAGGCCCGTAACCAGACCAATGTGGGGGGGACGGGGGGGGGGGGACAGAAAAAGGCTTCAATCAGCACAATTATAATTTATTTTATGTCATGAAGGCATGAAAGTTATATCACACCACTCAATAATCATCATTTCAGCTTTGAAACCATTTTGCTTCAGCTGGCGGCTGTTGTCCTGGCGATCTGTTTCTCTTTGACTGTCGTCGAAGTGATTCTGGAAGAGAAACCAAAATTTACACAAGTGACTGGCCCAAAAGACTTAGTGTTCACATTATAGTCTAGACCCACAGTCTACATTGCCCTTCCATATTTTTCTGCGAATGTCAATAATGAAATAACATAAACAATGGTGGCGTTTCGTTTGATCTCTAAAGGGGGTGGAGTAATACTGATAGGCATTTAGGAAATCAATGATATTGATAGGGAGAAGGGTGGTGGTGGAGGGGTTTTGAGTTGAAAATCAGGACCAGCACAAATATTAGAATTAGGAGCCATGGCCCCTTGCCTCACCGTACAAGCACCAATATGGCGCACACCTTTAAATTATACTGTTTGTTTTGGTGATTGGAAGTAAATAATACTAAATACTAAATAAGTAAATAGTCTTAGAATTTCACATTTAAAGAAAAACATAAATCGATCGATTAAGTGTAGGCCTATCAGAAATGTTGTTGACACTGACAGTGTCTCAGAAGCCATAGTGCATGCTCCTCGTCTAGGCCTAGGCTTAGATAGCCAGTGCGTGGAAAGAAACCCTCTCACAAAGTTTCCATATCTATTATATCCAGTTTTTAGACCTGAACATAACACAATTTGCAAAACCCCTGAAATCATCGAATGTACTTACATCGCATAGAAAAGAGTTGTCGTGGGGAGTCCAGTCGGATCGTTTGACCTTTACTTCCCATTCTCTGCGTCTCCTTTTATCCTTAAGGAACCTGTGCATCACTATACCTTCTCCAGATTTGACAGAGCATTTCTATGCCACACATCGAGGCATTCTGTTGCCAGACAAGACCAGGAATTAGGCTTAAACAACGTAAAGAATACCCAGGCTCCTACGCCTAAACGTCGCGGGAAGGGTAACAATATGGCGGCCTTCAATCACGTGACCACTCTGCGCCAATCATAGTTCAGCGCGGCGAGATCACAAGTTGGCCAGACTCTCTCTATTTACGGCTCTGGCCAAGCCATATTTTTATCTGCATAATTTTTGCACTATAGGCTACTCTTGTGAGTAAGAAGAGCGTTACTTTCTTCGGAAACAGTCATATATTTATTGTTCAGCTGTTAAAGCTCAATTTCATGATAACCGAGCCAAGATAACCGCTTGAGGGTATATATTCAAATTCTAATTTTAGAATATAATGATTCTTCCAAATTACAGTTGTTTTTTTATGCAACATAAAATTTGAGATGAAGTTGAATGATACTTTTATACTTCTTACAGTACGATATTGAATAAGGCTTCAAGAAAGTCTCATTGAGAGACTGGAAAAACTTTCTACAAGGGGAATTCGACCCGGAAGTTAACTGCATAAACGTCACCGGGGTATGCAAATGAGGGTGTTTCCTGTTGTAAAGTGCCAAGATGGCGAAAACATACGACTATTTATTTAAACTTTTATTAATTGGTGACTCTGGTGTTGGAAAAACTTGTTTATTATTTCGTTTTTCAGAAGATGCTTTTAATTCAACATTTATTTCAACGATAGGTAGGTATTTGGTATAATAATCTGCTTGTAGAATCTGCAATGAATGATCAGGCCTATCTCGGCTCAGGCTGATTCTGAATCAGATAGAAGAAATAAAGTCTGACATCATTCAATTTCATAGGCTAAAAGCCTAGCTTTTTCCTCCTAAATTACTTGAAAATAATAATGGGAAAAAGTACTTCAGAATATCTTCCTCTTTTGTTTTATTAACTAATGTTTTAACAATAAGTCTTAAAGTTACACAATTGTTTACACAAAAGCTTACTGACATTGACACTGACAGTGATGACAGTATCTTGAGATTTAAGCAGGCTGTCAATTCAATTTCAATTTCTAGCCCATTATATCACGACAAATGCCACACCACTATATGCTGAATGCAATCAGCTCATCTTGCTGTGACTGATGAGGAGGTTATATTATTTCACATACCGGTACCATACTACTTTCATCATCACAGATTGGTTTAAGCTAAGGGGCCTCACAAAATCATTATAATATTTAGCTGCTGTAAAACAAACACATTGGATATTTAGCCACGAACCGATCTTGTTTCTTTTTTGCTTTTTTCATAGGGAATTCCATTTACCCATACGCAGCACAAAAAAAATGAAGAAAGGTGGCAATCATTGCCGTCAAGGAGTCCATAAAGGGCTAAATGAGACCTGAAAACTAAACCCAAAACTAACCGTAAAGAAGACCCTAAAGGCAGCTGGACCTTGTTTGAAAATTTTCAACATATGGCCATCCCTACCTTACCTTAAAAAAAAACTTAATCGCATATTCCACATTAGATTTTTTTTACTGCACATGGATAAACAGTAACGCCGGCAAAATAGCCACTTCATAACACAAATGGATTTTAAAATCACAAGAGCATGTTTTAATTTTAGGTATAATGTATGGCTGGAAAATATAACTCCTGCTAGAACAACATGTAGATATCAGATAGGGAATCAGAAATGTTGGAAAAAGAAGCCTAGCTCCAATAAGTGTCCCAGATAGACATAATAAGACTTGATTACATCTTGTAAATCCGTTTAATAAACGCTGTCTGGCTTGGAACAGTCTGTTTTTTGAGTCACTATAAACTTTAAATTACTGGTATGCTATAAGAAATTATGTTATAAGTGTTATATCAAATGAAGGGAAGTACCGATATAGAAAAATTTTCCTGAAAAAACTTTTATTGATATATTTTAGGTATCGATTTTAAAATTCGAACGATAGAATTAGATGGTAAAAAGATCAAATTACAAATATGGTGAGTTATAGGACTATTTGTAGAAATGATATTATATTAAATTGTTCCTACAGCCTATCTACTGTATCAACATCATGCCATTTTTATTCGCCCACATGAAATTGTTGCCCCACAAAATGATAAATCTCACAAAAGGAAACATAATTTATTAACAATTATTGTTAATTCAAATTTTTGAACTGCCACATAAACCCTCTGTTTGAGACAAAATATTTGAATTATATGAACAAAATAGTAACGTTTGTTTTATATTTAGGGATACGGCTGGACAAGAAAGATTTCGAACTATCACCACAGCGTATTACAGAGGTGCCATGGTGAGTTGTTATTTTCGCATTCAAAATCTATCAGTTCTATTTTGACTTTCTTCAATGTTTCTGCATTTCTTGATGGTTGGATGATATGGAAATGTATCAGTTTGTTTGGCTATAAAAGTTGTTATGTCTGATTTTACCCATTAGGAGGGCAATGAAGTCAGGAAAACTCATCTTGCTTGGTAACTTCTCAATAGGCTAGATATATCACACTAAAAAAAGATAATTTTATACATTAACAGTTTTGAATGAAAATATGCTTTTTTTGTTAAAATGATGAAATTTCTTGGCATATACAATATTTCACATTTCTATATGACAAGTGGATGCAATTTGATTATTAAAGATTAAACCCAAGCATGTGGATATTATTAAAGATATAGAAGTATTAAACCCAAGCATGTGGATATTATTAAAGACATTTAAGTATTAAACCCAAGCATGTGGATATTATTAAAGACATTTAAGTATTAAACCCAAGCATGTGGATATTATTAAAGACATTTAAGTATTAAACCCAAGCATGTGGATATTATTAAAGATATAGAAGTATTAAACCTATGCTTGTGGATGTTATTAAAAGTCTAGAAGTATTAAAACCCAAGCATGTGGATATTATTAAAGATATAGAAGTATTAAACCCAAGCATGTGGATATTATTAAAGATATAGAAGTATTAAACCCATGCATGTGGATAATATTAAAGATATAGAAGTATTAAACCTATGCTTGTGGATAATATTAAAGATATAGAAGTATTAAACCCATGCATGTGGATATTATTAAAGATATAGAAGTATTAAACCTATACATGTGGATAATATTAAAGATATAGAAGTATTAAACCTATGCTTGTGGATAATATTAAAGATATAGAAGTATTGAATCCATGCATGCGGATATTATTAAAGATATAGAAGTATTAAATCCATGGATGTGGATATTATTAAAGATATAGAAGTATTAAACCTAGACCCATACATGTGACAATTATTAAGATTCACAGGTATTAAACCCATGTATGTGGAGAATAAAGATTTAGATAAATGAAATCCATGCATACGGAGATTTTTTAATATCTCTATGTACTAACCCCATGTACCGGTAAGTGGTAAATATTTATTATTCTAGTACTGGTACAAAATATATTTCTAATGTAGAGGACTATAAAACTCATACATCCTGTCAACTTTCATGTAGAATTTATTTAAAGATTTGTTTATTTTTTTTTCAGGGAATCATGCTTGTATATGACATAACCAGTGAAAAATCTTTTGAAAATATACGAAATTGGATTAGGAATATTGAAGAGGTAGGTACATGAATGATATCCTTGGTTGACACAAGCTTATACAGCGATAGAATTTATGTTAAAATAAACTTTATCAACATGACATCCGAATGATATCTGCAATAGTCACATCCTAATTTGGCCAAGATTTACAGATAAAAGCTATTTGTATCCTTATAAGAAAACAGTCTGATTTCAATTCTAAGAGGGAAAGAGATAGCTGAAATTATTATCAGCTGATAAGGCAAATGGTTAGTCTACAATATAGTTTATTTTGTGTTTTTAGCATGCGTCAAAAGATGTTGAAAAGATGATTCTGGCAAATAAATGTGATATGAATGACAGACGGCAGGTATCTAAAGAACGAGGTGAAAATGTAAGTATGCTTTCTATAGCCTCAATTTCGAATTTGAGAATTGTGTGATAATATGAAAATGAGAAATTGCGTCTATCCTGATATATTAAAACTTCTATAGCAACCAGTTATAGGAAAATAGAGCCCATTACATTTGTAATTATACATTATGGTATGCCTTGTTGTTGGAAGAGAGCTTGCCCTGCTTCAAGTTAATTTTATTTATCATGTGTATTTGTAGTTGGCTGTTGAACATGGAATCAAGTTTATGGAAACTAGTGCCAAGGCATCAATAAATGTTGACGAAGCTTTTTTCACATTAGCTAGAGATATAAAGGGAAAAATGGACCGACGATCAGTAAGTCAATATCTCGTTAGGCCGCTGCTTCATGAATTAGACAGTTTTGCTATTATATTTTATAAGCTATGTTAATCATTTCTGAAGGTACAAAATCATGATCAGGAAAGCATCTGCATATTTTGAGCACTTTCCCTCTTACGGCTCAGCAAAAAAGCTGGAATTCAATCCTCACTTGGGTCATCAAAAGAAGGAGGCTTTCATGGTCAATTTTCTCACATCAAATGCACAAGGTTGTGAAACTATTTCTTTTCATTTGAGATTTACAAACCTGTGTATTTGTATTGTGGTCTGTTGCATCAAATCATTTATGTATTACCTCCCTTTGCTCTTAAAGTCAAGATGAATTTGATTTTTTTTAGGATTCAACACCCAATGCAAAGCAAGCAGGATATCAACTGAAGAAAGATAACGCCTCTAAAAAATCATTTTGGAAGTGTTCCATCCTTTGAAACCGTGCTTTAAAGAGACTTGTGATTTTCTTATGTTGACTGTAAAGTTTTGTACAAAAACACCTCTATATATCAAGACATCTGTGTTAGTTGCAATCTAAGAACTAACAGGGCTTCATTCAAACACCAATCTTCATCTTAGTAATTTTACATTGAGAATTAGCATCTTCAACCATTTTTCAACACCACAGATTCCATCTTCTGCTAGCTTAGAATTGACAGAAGAAAGAGAGATTTTCAACTCATTGATTTATGAATTATGATTTAAGAGAGCAGTATGCAATTTATTTTGATTAGAAAACAGAGCAAGCTATTGGGTGTAATGGCTTGCTGTTATAAGCTGAAACCTTCAGAATAACTAGGAGACGTATTTCTCAAAAATTTAGTAAATTTCAAAAATTTATGTAATCCTTTGAAGTAGTTATAACTTTCAGATAAGAAAAGGGACACATGTTGAATTATAGTTTTCATTAATTTTCACTTCACTCTTAGAGGTCCTGTATGGAACTTTTGCAGTTTATAAGACACATTTAAACTAGAAGTTTTTGTACATGATTTTTTTATGACATAGAAATAAACCTAGACAGATGGAGACACTTTCTGCAAACAAAAAACAGGGTATCTAAATTAAAATTTGAAGAAAATCTTGATGATGATTTCTAAAAAGGCACGATGCTGATTTCAAGCTGGAAATAAATTGTGTACTTGCAATTCAGGCTGTCAGAATTTAGTGAACCATGGAACAATTCTGAAGACCTAAGGTCACTGTTAAAGATTTGAGCCATTAACAGATGAAAGATTAGTCATGTTAATTGCAGGCATATCTTTTTCAAATTTTAAAGAAAAAAATATTGGTCTCATAACAAAAACATGCACCAAGTTGACGAAAGTTTGAATTGCACTGCACAATATTTGATAGGATGCATTTATAATAAATCTTGTCATAAAAAATATTCTAAAATTTAAACAAGTGTGTAGTACTACATCAATTTCTGGTTAATTTATAAGTAATTTGGGATGTCACCTTTAAAGGTTATAAACTTTTCATGTTGTTTGCATTTGGGATAATGACACGATAATGTTTTAAGTATAAATTATTTATCCACATACCAATTTCTATTTTTATGCTTAATTTCACATAGACAAGAATATTATTTTTCTATGATAGTTTAAATCTGGTTGTAACACAATGATCATTGTATATCTGTGTTGAAAAGTAAATTTTGCTGCATTTGTCTATAAATAAAATTCTACATAGACCTTCTGATAATTTGATGTTAACACTGTGAGGTTCTATAGCACAGTCGGTTGGTTCTTAACATTACATCATTTGCTTGGTTACGTCAAGCAGTTGTAGGTTCCGATCTTGAATGGCATGTGCTAGTCCGTTGACATTGAATAAGTCATCTTCACTCATAATTCTAGTCGACCCAGCTGTAAATGGGTACCGATAATCTGGGAAAGATCAATGCCAAGAGGTTTGGCAAAGGACCAGCTGGTAGAAAGGATCCTTAACTATGTTTTAAGAGATAAACACGAGGCCAGCTTCATGAAAGAATGACTAAAGAATAAATACGTGTTCAAGTCATCGTATTGGTTCATCACTAAAGTGTTAAACTGTATTTCTTAAAATGGTGATTTTATCTTATTTTATGTCATTTTGAAACTACTGTTTTTCTAAAAAATCTTCTGATTACATCAAAAAACTTTTAGATAAAAATCAAGATTATGAGGAAACGAATTTTTTTCCATTCAGATCTAATTGATCAAATGAAAAATCTTTATATTTGTAGTTTTCTCCTAAATTAATTTTTTTTGTAATAGGCACAAGCATCAACAATTGTACAAATTAGCATAAAATGCATTTAATGTAATGTATAAAAAGAAATACTACTTCTTAGAATGAACATAAATTTTAAAGTCTCAAACTTGGTCAACAAGTGTATATATTCATCAGTTGGACTTACCATGGGCCATGACTAAAGAATAGAATCTCTATTTAAAGTGATGTTTCCATTAAAATAAATAATTATGGAAAAACCCTTCTAAATTATTACTTAGTTTTATGGATTTATTGGATTATAGAGGGATTCCGTCGTATAGTTTTGACACCAGATATTTCCACTAATGAACAAAGACTCATTGTAGCCAAGTTTAAATATTATTGTCATCCTTTGAGGAAGTATATCTTTAAAAACGTTTACATAGTGGGTTTACAACTTTGGTATATATAAATTTTTTTTAAGGCTCTGTTTGACTTGTTGTAATAAAGTACTCTCTTGCAGTCACATAAATAATTTGTACATATTTTGTATATGCTATTATTAAAATAATGTTGTACATGGATACCAATATTTTTGTAAATAGCGCTGTCCAGTTTGTTGTAGATTTTACTTTTTTTGTTGATTTCATGGTTTTTCATTATTTTGGTATAACCTGGTTTTCACATCTAGACGCGATATATTGAAATGAATTGTTTATCAGTTATAAAGTCTTTTATTCTAGTCTTGTACTGATATTGTTGCAATCTGGAATCTCACCATCATCCGATGACCTTTGAATGCAAGGAAAGAAACCATTAAGTTTTAATCAAATGTCCATTGTGACATTTTTAAATAGAAAATGCTCTAATTTTAAACCCACTTTATGCAGTTCCCTAAAATTACAGACTGCTTTTAGGTTTTACCATATTCTCCTTGGTCTGTGCTTTTGTAATTTCAATTATACTGTTTTTACAATCACCAAAAGATTTTTTGTGAAAAAGAAGGGTCAGTTGACATCTCCCAAAGGTACAAGCCTAAGGTGTATTAAGTACTTAAATTTAAAAAGCACAGTATAAAAATCTTATTTTTTGGAATATTTGGTTATAAATTGGAAAAGCAGGTTATACCAAAATAAGAATTGTTTATAATACAAATCATGTTAATTATTAAATGTCCTTTTGTTAGATTACTGTTCTTTCATCTGAATTTTTTCAAAAAATTGTTTTGATATTTCATTTAGTGAAAGCTAATTTTGTATTTTAAACTAATGCCTTGGACAAGTGCACTGATAAATGACTTCTACTGTTCAAGTTCTATCATGGCTGTTGATTTGGCTCTATTTGCCTGTCATGACCGACGGGGCAGCTCAAATGACTGGTGGTCAACATCCTCTATAGGACATCATTGTAGAAGTTAGTCAAATGCAAACTCTCTAATGGAATACAAAGCCATCAATCACTGCTTAGCTGTATTGTACAGCGATATCAATATTTTCTCAAATTGTTTTAGTAGAAGATGAATGATAACTTTCCATTATTGACTCTTGCTTCAAGGATGATTTTATAAAACCATTTATTAATCAGTTATTTTTAAAAGTTCTTGAGAAAGTTTGAGTCTCATGTGGAATTTATCATAAATTAGTCACTATGTCCATTATATTAGTTAAGAATGAACAGAACTTCAATTGTTTCACCACCTGCATGAAAAAAATACTTTGTATACAATAAAAGATCTTATCAACATTGCAAGGGTGTTTTCTTTTTAACTACTTAGCTAAGTATAACATCCCAAAGTCAAGTCCTAAGATGATCTACCCACTTGTGTGGTGATTCCCCCCTTCACTCCAAATCTTTTATTGACTGAGCATGTGATAGGTCTAATATTGTAATTTTGTGAGATCATGGAAGGCAAGTGGAGTCAACTCAATAATATGAATCTGCATGTTTATTGCAAGTTGTACTACTTGTATTTTAAGTGAATCTCAAATTGCAAAGAGATCTTGATATTTTAAGTCTGACCAAATGTGAAGTCATATGTAAATGTAAAAAAATAGAAAACAAGATAATGGAAATTGGTGTTTGTTTAATCTTAAACATAACAAGTGAATAAATAATTCTTAAATAATTAATATTTACAGAACCATATTTGCTCTTCAATATATTCAACCATCAGTGATAACACTGATATCATTGTGACCCAATAAACACTGAAAACTTTACTTAATATCATCATAACCAAATAACAAATTAAAACTTGTCTTGATATCATTATGACTCAATAAACACTGAAAACATTACTTGATAACATTATGACCCAATAAACACTGAAAACTTCATACTATTATGACTCAACATTCAACACTGAAAACTTTATCTGATATCATAGTGACCTGATAAACACTGAAAATTTTACTTGATATCAATATGGTCCAATGAACACTGAAAACTTTACTTGATATCATTATGACCCAATAAACACTGAAAACTTTACTTGATATCATTATGACCCAATAAACACTGAAAACTTTACTTGATATCATTATGACCCAATAAACACTGAAAACTTTACTTGATAACATTATGACCCAATAAACACTGAAAACTGTACTTGATATCATTATGACCCAATAAACACTGAAAACTTTACTTGATATCATTATGACCCAATAAACACTGAAAACTTTACTTGATATCATTATGACTCAATAAACACTGAAAACATTACTTGATAACATTATGACCCAATAAACACTGAAAACTTCATATCATTATGACTCAACATTCAACACTGAAAACTTTATCTGATATCATAGTGACCTGATAAACACTGAAAACTTGTTATCTATGGCCCAATGAACACTGAAAACTTTGCTGATATCATTGTGACCCAATAAACACTGAAAACTTTACTTGATATCATTATGACCCAATAAACACTGAAAACTTTACTTGATATCATTATGACCCAATAAACACTGAAAACTTTACTTGATATCATTATGACCCAATAAACACTGAAAAATTTACTTGATATCATTATGACCCAATAAACACTGAAAACATTACTTGATAACATTATGACCCAATAAACATTGAAAACTTTACTTGATATCATTATGACCCAATAAACACTGAAAACTTTACTTGATATCATTATGACCCAATAAACACTGAAAACTTTACTTGATATCATTATGACTCAATAAACATTGAAAACTTATGTAAAACAGGAATAGGTGAAACCATAGCACTTTTTGACTGTTTTGATTATTTAAAGCGATAGGTCAAATAAAATTTCAGTAAATCTTGTAATGGTTGCATTAAAGCTGTTTCATCATGTGACAAGACAAACATGATCCGTTTTGCCGGGTGATTTGATAAAGGAGCAATTAATTCCCCACAACCAGAACAATATCCACCTTCATTTCTTAAATAAATAAATTACTATTTGAAACGAATTAGAGATACAATTTAACTTATTCATGGTCAATTTAATTCATCTATTCCAATGAAATATAAATTCACTTTAATACACTCATTCATTCCAAGTTACTTGTAAAAAAACTTAAATTTTAAATGAAGGACCTGACAAAGACAACCATAAATTGCATGAAATATCATGATATTGTTTTATGAAAAATAGTTCACTAGCAAGATACCAGATGAACCCTTTTTAAAATTACGAAATGTGATTATGAGAAAACAAAGAAAAACATATTATATTATTGCACAAATTTTAACCCTTTCCACAGAAAAGAAACATCCTCTACTCTTAGTCAATTGATTTGCATACTGGACCCTTGTAGCTCTATTTATTTGATTACACAGTCATGAATCATTGAGTCACTCACAGAAAAAACCTGAAACTAAAAATCTAGATCTACATTCTTAACACTGTTAAATATTTTGAGCTAACTAAGACACTTTCATCTTGAATTCACCATGTCCTTTTTTTTCTTACAAGTGTAAGTTATCTCCCTTGAGTTCTTCAATCCACGTAATCCCATGATGCCACACTTTGCACCAGCCAGACAACATCCTGAATCCAAGGCTTCTTCTAAACTGAGTCCATGAATTAAACTATATAAACAGGCAGCTATGAATGTATCTCCAGCACCAGTAGTATCCACCATTTGTTTGGGAGGAAAGGCTTTAGATGTCACAACAGAACTGTCTGGAATTTTAGCTGCTGCACCACATTCTCCCCATGCACATATCACAGTTTTACTGTCAAAAATGTAAACAAAAAATTGATTATGATATTGCCTAATAAACAAACAAGTGGTTGCCTAGCAAGATACGCCCACTTTCCTGATACATTTTCAGTATATCAAGGGCAGTCACCTATCTGTGTCAAATCATACCAAAAATTTAATTTTTGCAAGTTATTGTTGATTTCAACAAACACACATTATTTAATAAAGTTCTGACATAAACTGTCATCTCTAACGCTAAGAAATTTTGATGCGTTTTTACTAAGTCATGGGCAATAACTCAAATTCCTTTGATCGAAAAATTGTCAAATTTGATCTTGACTAAGATCTCATCATTATAAATGATCATACCAAATTTCATTTAAATCGGATGAAAACTGTAGTCTCTATTGTGTTCACAAAAAAATTTTGATGCATTTTTCATAAATCAAGGGCAATAACTCAAAAACCATTCATCGAAAGATAGCCAAATTCGAACTTGTCCAAGATCTCATCATTATAAATATTCACACCAAATTTCATTGAAATTGGATGAAAACTGTAATCTGTATTGTGTTCATTCAATCCATACGGCCATACACCAAGTTCAGTATACATCAAATGAATCGCTGTACTACTAGTGGTATTGGTAATCCCATCAAAAAGTCTTCTGTGATTGGTTGTCTGGGAGGTTGACAAAAGCGATCAGTTCATGAAATATTTCGAGAGTAACATTTTCATACTACAAGAGTTTTATTCACTTTTTCTCTTTTGTAATTTTCGAAAGGGTTCATCCCCAAGAGATGATAAACAAATTCACCAAGTTTTGTGCAATTTGACGATTTTGGTGTCAATTGAAAGAACATAACAATTTAAGAAAAATGTAGAAAGTCGATTTTTGAATTTCGCTCTTACTTTTTTACTAGTTTGGTTGAATTTTTTAAGTTTACAGGCTCATATCCAGTGACCTTGATCGTGATGATATTGACCTTGAAGCTTCAGTCAAACATAAATCGCAACAGGTCAAATAAAATCATGTACTTACTTTTTCTCTGCTGATTTTTGTGATACAAATGTTTCCATATCATTAAAACCATAATGTTTAGCATAATCTTTACTGAAGAAGGCATAATCTACTAATGGTATAATATCTTCTACAAACAACAAAATAAATTGAAGAAACCGGAAAATATGGTTAATAAGCTATAGAAGAAGTTTTGAGGTTGAATATTATAATTGAAACTGTACAATCAAGAAAATCGCCAATCAAAATCCCCCATGTATTCTTCAACCTATTTCCCCTCTTTTCAAAGGCAACCTGACGAAGCAGCTAGCAGCCACCTGTTTTATGACTGTGCAATCAGATCCACATTTTGTGCAAATTTGAAAATACTTGTGACCCAAAATCGGGCAGGGTACCAAAATGGCATTGAATGTCTGGCACTACCAGGTAAATCAAGTCTCAGGAACTAGGTAAGGCTGGATTTGTCAAAGAATCTCCGGGTCTTGCACATAACATTGTTCATGATTGTATATAACATTTACCTAATGGATATGTTCGTATTTTCTCAAATTCTAAAGATATGGTAATTCGTTTATGACAATCAACTGATAGATTATATTTTTTAATATCCAATATCATTAATCTGATATCATCATTGTTTGGTCGTCCCTGTAAATACAAAATTAAATGTATTATGCTATTATCGATACATTAAACGGATTCTTTCAATTGAAAACCACTAGAGGACGACAACCAGCTCCCTTATTTATCATAAAGCAGGGCTGTTGATTTATTTATCTGTATTTGCCAGGCATGTCTGATTGGAATTTCAAAATAACTGATTGCTAGTTTGGTCTTTAGAACATTCTCTATGAGATGAGTTCTCAATGAAAATTGTTCTTAATTTACTTGTTAAAATGTTTGGTTGCGAACAGTTAGAAAGCATGACAACAACAATTTTTCACTTGCTCTTGTCCTCGGCTTCATCCATCAATAGATCAGAATGCTGCAAGAGGTGATATTTCGAATGCTGAAGGTCGAGGTATTGAACATCATAAAGTATGCAACATGAGGAATATAAGATGGCTGTTGACACTTCGATTAAACAGATCTTCTATTCCATTTTATGGAATTTGCCATCTTGGCTTTTATAATTTTGGATTATAGACAATTTCATTATTTTTACTGTTCATACATACTACCTCTTTAATACAAACTATAGTTGAGTAAAGATATTTATGCAAATTCTGGTACTAACTTTCTAATTTTCTAAACTCTTGCACCTTGTTTTAGCATGAATCTATACTCTGTGACCTAGGCCAGTGCTTTCATGTGGCTTTGTTCTCACCAACATTAAACACAAACTTTCCACTTTGTTTTTTTAGGTTGGATAAGTGATATAATAGAAGTCTATCTCAAATCAAAATAGACTTCTCAATTGTATTTATGTTTTAAAGATGGGTTCCCTTGTTTCATGTATGAAAATGAAAATGCTTATACTGATAAGAATAGAAAAGAAAGGTCAAAATGTCTTTTCTCAGTTTATCCAGACTGTACATACAAGGACATTTATGATTAGTTAAAACTCTTAATTATATGCAATAAGAAAAAAAAGATATGATTAAGAATACATGATAATTCATTACAAACACCAATTAACCAAATAGTTTGCTTAATATGACACTAAAAATTACAAGGAAACCCATCTTTAATCGTAGGTGGATGTACGTAAATATCTCTGCTCTACTCTACTATGCATGCATTTGTTCAAAATTTTTAATCCTAAGGTAACATTTCAATATTGTGGTCATCCAGATGAAACATGAAAATTCCATCAAAAGTTCAAAAGGTTAAGGTTAAAGTCATAAAACAACAATCCTTACTTCAAAATGAATCCAATTGTAAAGACTTAAATCAACCATTTTAAAATCTTCATAAGTTAATTCTCTTAAACATCTAAATAAATAGAATTACTTTGTTATTAAATTTCTTCAGAGAATAAAGTGTCTAAATTTGTTTCAATGACTAAATAAAGCTGTATGTTTCACTATTAAAGGAATAGTCAAATTTTATAGCAAAAAAACCCTTAAAAGATAATGATGTTTCAATTTTGTACCCACAGAAGGGTACGGAAGAACTTTTTACCTCATTTTTGACCCAAATCGCTTTTTTTGATATAGCACGTTTTAAGACAAACTAAGAACAACATCGACAAAAAATTATGGAATGCTTTTATCTAGTCATTATTGATAAAAAATTCTCAAAGCTGACTATTCCTTTAAGAATGCTGTCCATCACCAAATTTGTCTACATGAAGAGGAGGGTTGAATGAATAAATTGTCTAATTTACAAATTACATTTGAGAATACTGGCCATGGTTTTTGTCAAAGGATCATATTCGTAATCGTTTCGTACCGACGACTGCCATTCTCGCTATGCCTGACAATAACCTTGTATGCATTTGGCGGGTAAATTGGGCTATTTTTGTCCTCCATTGTTGACATCTGACTAGTCTCTGACACCCAGACATCTGAATATGACGAAGATAGAGACTTCAAGGGAGATAACTAACATCTGACGAACTATAATGTGGTCGTGGATGTAACTTCCACCTAACAAGATGTTCTTCCAGCTGCATACGAGGTTATTGTCAGACAAGGGCCGCCGTAGAAACGAATGACTGATAATCTTTTAAAGATCATTTGCTTATACTTATGGTACACAAACAGTCAATGTGGAAAGACAATGCCATTAATTCAAACTTACCTGTTACTATGTAAGATGGTTCTGGAACCGTTTTCACTATTAACTATGACTATTGAAACTGGACATTTACTATTATTACATATAACTATATTACTTATATTGACTCCATATTCTTCAAAATCACTCATTATAAAGCTAGAAAATAAACATATTAATACAGCCTTTCACTGGCCAATTTCACTTCTGTTTCATTGTGCATTAGTGTCAGGTATTGAGATATTGCGATATGAGATAATGGAATAACAATTAAATGTAACTGATAGGAGTTTTTAACAACCACTGTTTACAAATAGTTTCCATCAATTTCAAGTCAGTGAGAAAAATTTGCGATACCATTCACAAACTTTTATGGAATGAGAGGTATCGTCAAGTATCAGTACATGACCTTACAATACACATATTGTGGCATGACGTATCAAGATACTCCAACTCACTGATATATATCATGCCAGCACTACTTTATTTGATAGAAACTGTGGAACCATGTATAAATTAAAATCATGGAACTTGTGCCATTTTGAAATAGTTTTGAAAGGTCAAGGCCATTAATTCACTGATTTTAACAACAGAGATTATAGGATATCTGGCAAATAATACATATTCTAGTGCTTTCATATAGCTTAGTATGTACTTACTTTTTATTTTGACAGTCAGAAACAGTACCGAAATATTCTACATCACAACCTAGCATAGATAATACAGTTGCACTATTACTAGCATTACCACCTCTCTCCATTATAGTATCCATTGTTCTAGAATATTCAATAATAAGATAGCTTGACAGGGGAGTAATATAATCTTTGCAATGTGGCGCTATTACTTCTTACTTATACCTTGACTGCAATAGTCATCTTTCTAGTAAGACAGAAGTTTGCAAATGCAGCGATTTGATTGGATTGTATGCTAATGAATACAGTCAATCAGAGGCCTCAACATAATGCATAGAATTGGATAGTGAATACTGGCTATTGCAGTCAAGGTATAAAACAAAGTTTGTAAAAACCCCCATAAGGCCCTTTGCAATTAATGATATCATCGAACACTTAGTTTTAGAGCACCCCTTTAATACTTGACTTGTAAAATGTTCACGAGTTAAATATTGAATGTGTTTCAAAGAACAAGGGCAATAACTTATATCAAATATTTTTTTTTTTGACCGGTGATAATAAACAATTTCACTGAGTTTGTTTAAATACGTCAATAATTTTTTTATAAAGTGTTAACAGATGGAGATTCTATTCTTTAGTCATGGCACCTGGTTATACCTGGTTTTTTAATGTAGGCGCTATCATCCAGTGGAATCAGTCTGATCTATATCACGATGGCAACAAATGTCTCCAGTCTACAAAACATTGCGTAACTTTTACGAAATTGATTTTTAGGATTGCTCAATCAAAATCATGTAATGAAGATGATAAATTTCAATGGTTGACAATTCCTCACATATCCTGCATGAAATGTATTCTAAAAGTTTCAATTTGAAATATTGAGTATTTATGAAGCTATAACAAAACATGTTTAGTGCACTCCGTTTCTAAGCAACCCTTCAAAAACAAAGTATGTTTGATCCAGACAATATATAGATATGAATAAGTTACTTTAAAAATATTTTAAGGTATAATTTATGACGTTTTTGATAATAATGAAATTTTGCATACCAGCCCTTTAAGGGGTCTCATACAGATGATGAGCAAATAAACATTTGCTAAACAAAACTGTGAAATAGTGAAGAACTATAATTAATTGGATGGTCGCAGAAGCCAACTGCTTAGCAACCAAATCCAATTTTTGCTAGAAAGCAGTCGTCAATGAAAATCCAGTAACTCTTGGATTCAGCTCCAAAAAAATACTTAACCCTGATAACAGAATCTTAGAAAAGGCTAGTATTGCTGCTAGCTGTCTTGACAAAATTTCATTCATTGCACACTGCATTGCCCATCTTTAATTTAATAGGTATCTTAAAATCTAAAAGTGACCTATACCCTAGATTCTTTGAAAACGTTTGAAAAATGATGGGCTGAAATTAATTTCTAATTAAGAAATATTTACCTCTGATTGGTGTCCTCTAATGGGTATTGTTTAACAACAGTTTTAAAATCAACACAAACTAAACCAACACATAATATCCTTTTAGACATGGTCTTGTAAGACAAACGTAACTTGGATAACTCTGGACGTTAACTTTTATTCACTTTATCCACAGGTCACCAAAGATAACAATAAAACTGCAGCAGATTTCCATACACAATTATCTATAAAACAACAAGATACTATATATTATCATAAAGGCCAAGTCTATTTATTTTTTTGTTTTACATATCCTTCTACCTGAATTTTCAGAAAAAAAAATAAAATCAACTTCACAGCGACCTTCATTCCTGATGAAAAATATGCATCATCAGAAATTCCCTTTATTGATAAAATATAAGATTTTTTAGTTAAATTAAAGTATAAGCATTATTCTAATACAATAATTCAGTATATTCATTAAGAAAGGCTAGGTAGAATCAGAAGTATAAACATTATTCTAATACAATAATTCAGTATATTCATTAAGATAGGATAGGTAGAATCAGAAGTATAAATATTATTCTAATACAATAATTCAGTATATTCATTAAGAAAGGCTAGGTAGAATCAGAAGTATAAACATTATTCTAATACAATAATTCAGTATATTCATTAAGAAAGGCTAGGTAGAATCAGAAGTATAAACATTATTCTAATACAATAATTCAGTGTATTCATTAAGATAGGATAGGTAGAATCAGAAGTATAAACATTATTCTAATACAATATTTCAGTATATTCATTAAGATAGGATAGGTAGAATCAGAAGTATAAACATTATTCTAATACAATATTTCAGTATATTCATTAAGAAAGGCTAGGTAGAATCAGAAGTATAAACATTATTCTAATACAATAATTCAGTATATTCATTAAGAAAGGCTAGGTAGAATCAGAAGTATAAACATTATTCTAATACAATAATTCAGTATATTCATTATGAAAGGATAGGTAGAATCAGAAGTATAAACATTATTCTAATACAATAATTCAGTATATTCATTAAGATAGGATAGGTAGAATCAGAAGTATAAACATTATTCTAATACAATAATTCAGTATATTTATTAAGATAGGCTAGGTAGATTCAGAAGTATAAACATTATTCTAATACAATAATTCAGTATATTCATTAAGACAGGCTAGGTAGAATCAGAAGTATAAACATTATTCTAATACAATAATTCAGTATATTTATTAAGATAGGCTAGGTAGATTCAGAAGTATAAACATTATTCTAATACAATAATTCAGTATATTCATTAAGAAAGGCTAGGTAGAATCAGAAGTATAAACATTATTCTAATACAATAATTCAGTATATTCATTAAGAAAGGCTAGGTAGAATCAGAAGTATAAACATTATTCTAATACAATAATTCAGTATATTCATTATGAAAGGATAGGTAGAATCAGAAGTATAAACATTATTCTAATACAATAATTCAGTATATTCATTAAGATAGGATAGGTAGAATCAGAAGTATAAACATTATTCTAATACAATAATTCAGTATATTCATTAAGATAGGATAGGTAGAATCAGAGGTATAAACATTATTCTAATACAATAATTCAGTATATTCATTAAGAAAGGATAGGTATAATCAGGAGTGTAAACATTATTCAAATACAATATTTCAGTATATTCAATAAAAAAAGATAGGCAGAATCAGAATTAATTTCAGTACAAATTTTATGATGAATTTAACATATGTTAACCTGAAATAATGAAGACAGATGTCATCGAGTTAGGTCAAAAGGTTAATTTGACCAACGTTCAAGAGGGATGTCATTAGACCCATATTGAAGTAACTATGGTAGAAAAAAAAGATAATAAAAGAACGCAACGAAAGTTTGGTCTAATTTTAATTACTTTGCAGTTCTTCCCTATGACCAAGAAATTGGAAATATTGTGCACCTAAAATTTGATGAATCTGAGGTGGCATATAAATACCATTGTATCACGAATACAGGTATTGAAATGGTCTTATCAACCCATATTAAACTAAGCCCACTACACTTCATTTTGAGACTGGTGCTATTTAAGTCTGACTAATCAGATAGGTAGAACATGTAAACAAAATACAACATCGCTTCGCACTGCCTGTTTTCTTTCCAAGTAAATATACCAACGTAAGGTTTGATTTTTCTCTCGGCTTAAATTCTTTAACAAAGATCTTATTCAATTTTGTACCATACATAATCTCAAATATGTAATGGCACGTTGATTTAGTTTTGTTTATGTTTGCAAACAATGCCTCATAACGAGTGACTTGTTTTGATTGGCTGAAATTTGCTATCAATACAGTAGGACCAATTTTGATTAGACAATATTAAGCTATGAATATGTAATTTTTCTCACTTATATACATATATGTAAATCTATGATGAAACCATCATGTAACAAAACATCACATACATGAAAGGCTCCATAACAGAGTCATTAAGAGCATTGGTTGTTTACTTGGTTATATCAAACAAATGGTTGCTGTGGGTATATCTCATTTGGAAAGTCTGATGACCTGCAATAAGTCATCTTCACGCTTCATAATTACAGTCGACCCAACTGTAAATGGGTACGGATAATCTGGGAAAGATCAATACCAAGAGGTTTGGCCAAGGATCAGCTGGTAGAAAGGATCCTTAATTGTGAACCTAAGTTGTTATCCTTGTAAAATATATTCACTTTGCTTAATTATTAATGAAAATAATTTCTGTATCAACTTTTCTTCTATCACACATAATAAATTCCTCGGTCCAATGAAATTTCATTGATTTATCTTTAGACATTTACCTGGCCTAGATAACTTGTATTGATTTTCAAGTTTTTATGCTTGAATGTAAACCTTGCCTATAAATCCAAAAAAAATTTGTTTAGTTTTTTATTCATATGGGTTACTGTGGTGGTAATTAACGAGTTCACCATGTTTTCATGCCTCAGCGATTGTGACAGTTGGCTCAGTATTCGCTTTCACTATTCTGGCTTCTGGAGTAGATGGTCATGGGTGATGACTATAAATGCTCCAAATTTCATGTAGGCATATATAATATATTTTTTTAATTTCCAAGGTCTAAAATGTATCAAATGTCCTCTTAGAAAATAAAACAATATAAAGAAAATAAATTAAAAAAAAACATTATTGATTCACAAGATTAATATCATATGTATGTTATAATTTTTTGTAATCTGGTAGAAAAATACTGTACAGATTTAAGTAAAATAAACCCCTATTGTAGAGAAATATGTCTCCTATGTGTTCTACAGGCCCGCAGCTAGGGGAGGGGCATCGGCCCCCCTAATAAATATTTGGCCCCCCTGAAAATTTTTCAACCATAATGTTAAAAATGTCCTGTTTTTATCGTTTTATATAGACAAAGAGCAATTCTAAGGCTTTTAAGCTGTTTTATAAGTAGGTTTGCTGTACAATACCCTCGCTTACAGCTGGTGTAATTGTTGATTATTATCATTGTTGATTGTCAACCCCGTGAAACACTAAAACACATATTTTCAATGTATATATATAGTTTCTTTATTGACTTTTTGAATCATATAGTTGAGCCCCCCTTAAAAAAATTTTGCCCCTCCTGAGACCCCGGGCTAGCTACAGGCCTGGTGTTCTATAGCTTTCAACTAATAATATCAAGCCATTATAAAGCCACACACCAAAACTACTTAATAAACAATTAGTACTCTTCGTTTTTAATCAAGCCTTTTAGAACAAATTCAGTTCGATCAAGTAGATAGATAGATATAAATAGTATACTTTAGAAATATTTTCAGGTATAATATACGTTTTTGTTAATGAAAATGTTTTATAAAAAAAGTGGAATACCCTTTTAAGGCTGGTTTGTTAAATTAAAGACTGTCAATATTTTAAAATTATAATAATTTATTATACATGATTGATGCAACAGCACAAATGACATAATGTAAAGATTCCAATGCTCTTACCAGCTGTGCTACAACCCTTCCTCAAGGATCATAACTCCAATTGCTATTGACTACCATGTGACAAAAGGAAGATGTCTTGATTGTCCACCAAAAATTTCAAGCTTTGCAAGCAACTAGCTGATACTTTTATTTCCTTATTTTACTTTTTCTATTATTTGTAGACTTATTTTTTATTGAAGATTTGCATGGACTAACATAGGTGACAATAATTTACACCTACATCAAAAATAGAAGGGGTATTAAAAAGAATTAAATAAAAAAGTGAAAACATAATAATGTTAAATCAAAATTAATATCAAATCTACGGAGCCCCTAAGGCGCAATTGTAAACATATTTATTTATTATTTCGTTTAAACGAATTAATTTTTTCGTCTATTTCGTTTAAACGAAATAATTAACCCATCTTTTTATTTAAATTTATTTATTTTTAAATTCTTATTTCGTTTAAACGAATTAATATTTCGTTTAAACGAAATAAACATAGGGTATTTCGTTAAAACGAAATAAATGATGTTATTTCGTTTAAACGAATTAATTCTTTCGTTTAAACGAAATAATTATTTCGTTCAAACGAAATAATAAATAAAAATGTTTACAATTGCGCTTTAGGGGCTCCGTACAAATCAGAATCTGAAACATGTTGTTTCTAAATTTCACATTGTGCGATTTTCAGACAACTAGTCTATTTCAGATATCGAAATGGTTCTACAATTGATGTATATATTAAACACAGTAAAAATATTTGTTATTGTAAAAGTTAATTATAAAATTAAATATATTACCTCTAATTAATTGTGTTCAGTAAATATTCAACTTTGTCCTATAGGAATATTCAGGCTGTCTTCCACTCCCAGAAATTACCCTATCAATAAATAATAATTGAACTAACATGAACGTAAAAGAAAGGAGAGCCTGGAGAATTATATAATGACAGATCAACCAATAATCAATACAGTCTCATAACATTATTACTCGTAGGCCAATCAACTCAAACTTCAGGTTGCGGTACTTAATAATAAATTACTATTGCTTGTCGTTTTATTTTATTTCTATATTGAATAAATTTAACTCCTTTTATAAAACTTCAATCGGGAACAATTCAAACATTAAAAACATTTCTTCAAGTCCATGGTTTGTCATTTTATGCTGTTGATTTAGGCATTGAATATATGTAAATAGTCTTCAGAAGTACCAGAACTGTACAAACTATCCTTCAAATATTCTATCCTCTCTCTAAAATCTGGGGTACTCGAAATTGTTTGTCTTGTTGATAAGAAATAATAGGAATTAGGGTGTACAGATACATTTTTATTATCCAGTCTTCTAACTGTTCTACATTATGGAGGAATCTTGAAAAAGGTGAGTTGTCAAGGTTATTTTTGGTCGATTTCTGAGATCAAGATACAATTGACCTCTGAAAATCATTAACTTATGGAGTTTCAAAACTTGAAGAAAGCAACTCGTCTAAGATCAGATATTCTACTGATACATTTTTCAACTGTAGTTAAACCAGCTTCATGGTAAACAGTAAATCAATAAATAACTACAATAGCAATGAAATACCAATTAAAAAGACTCTGCAAAGTTGATGTTTTTGATGTCTCCATGGAGACAATGTACTCATCTTTAATTCAAGCTACTGCACAATTTCATAGCTTGGCAAGCCATCTAATATGCACTCACTAGTTGCTTTGATTTTAAATAAGTATATTTGGAAGTACACCGTTTCCTTAAAAAATCTGGAAAATGATTATGAAAACTTTATCTTAATACTTGGAAATGAAATGATCTTTAATGCTTTAACTCTTAAACTCAAGATAAAACTTATATAAATTTGTTGAAGTCTTCAATAGATGACTGAACTAAAGAATATCATGATCTGTCACATAATACTAGTTTATGGGACTTTTTTTTAAACTAAATAAAGATAGCTTGCCAGGCAAGTATTTTGATGATGGATAATCAAAATTATAATTAATTATTTTAATTATTCTACACTGCCCTATCCACTAATGTATAATATGTTGCTGTACCTTACATTTTTTTTTTAAATTTCAGGTTAATATCAGAATTAAATTCTGAAAAGAATCATGGATAGCTGCAATTTATATCTATCGGTTGAATGAGCAAATTATTAGAATCTATATATTTGATTTAGGCAGCAAAACTTCAGTATCACTGACACTCATGTTACTCTTATCACTGTCAATTTTATCAGATGAACTCATGGCAGTCAAGGCGCAAATCTTTTTATGACTATGTAGACCTAGTGGTTTAGTGACCCATCATTCTTCCATTTCCTGGAAAGCTTGCTAGCAGTAATCCCCGAATGGTCTTGCACAGAATTTAAAGTGGTAGATGTAAAGGCAGTGCCCATTTTCTCAATTTTTTGAGAAATTATGTTCATGGTGTCTTGTAATGTTAACATTACTGGCAAAATATTATTCTCCGACATTGATGTAGACAAGGAGTCTGGACTTTTAATTGGTATATCTTCAGAGTCTACTGTAATGTGCATAGCAACATCAGTATTTAGGTCCAGGAGATTATCTTCCTCTACATTGGAAAGGACTGGCACATCAGACGACACAGATGTATGTGGTTTCCGTAAGTTAGCCATTGCTGGAAGTGGAACCTTCGTCAGCAATTAGGCCTAATACCCAAACTCGTTTATAACAGGGCCTTAAAAATGTTAAACCCTGGAGCATCAGTTTCTAACTCACAGGCCAAATGACTCTCTATTTTATAACAAATATCTAAGGATTATCTTGATTAAAAATTTGAGATTAAAGATTGACTGTTCTATAGCAAAGCACGAATAAAAACTGACACCTACAGCCCAGTGTAGTGGACGTAGCAATAGTGTGAAGTAGAATTATATCCTTTGAGCTTCATTTAATTTTATTGTTTGTGGAATATTACGAAGTTTAGTCACACCGTGTAATACAAATGTCAATGTTTAAAAGTGTTGCTCATTGAGTCATGTCATGGTATAATTATCTTCATTCCATACCTTTGTTACATATTAAACTGTTGTCTTTCATTTATGAAAGCTTTTTGGATAAGCATTAGTAAAGTTATCAAGAAAAAGTCAACCGATAGACTTCACAACTTCTCTGTAAGGTGCGTCTAGTTTTTCTAATTTACCCAATTCTTTTTTATTTGCCGATCCGCTCATTTTCGGATTAGGTCTACTTCACCCCTGTCATGATCCGACAACACTTGAATTGAATAGTGATAAGGGTTACTTTCATTCGACAATGATTAGACGACAATATAATAACAGGAATGTCGACATTTGATTTTGGCTCATAATAGCCTAATGAATTTGCGAAGTAAGCTTCAAGAGCAAAATTACCATGTACAACACAGGATAGTTACCATGTATTGCACATGATACACATTTAATGAAGTACGATGCCTATACCGGCATTGAAAAACAAATAACATCTTCATATATTTATGCGATGCCCTCTTAAAACTTTGTTAAAATGAAAACAAATGTATTTTTTCGTTCCATTTAATTTTTATTTCATTTATAACTTGCACAAATACAACTCACAAAAACTTAGTTATTAGGCCTATGAATAGAAATTTTCATACGACTTATTTACTTCTTAAGATGCAATGACTCATATGTAGCACGTTTGGCCCTTTTCAGTAAACAATTATCCGCCTTATCACAAAAACACATGGCATGGCCCCAAAAAGCACCACTTAAACCACTGTCTATATCTATCAGTGACTTTTAAGCAAGAATTAGCAAGTTCCATGCATATGGGTCATTCTCCGATGCTTTTGAAGAACTTATTTTCGAAATAATCTATATTGATAATTGTCGTCTTTTTTACTTTTTATCTTTGTGTGACATGACAAAACATCGAGCATTGAACATCAATATATATTTTTCGTTTTTGCAGGCGAAATTCAATGCCTGTGAGTCACACTAGTCATTTCCGTCACAGCTGTACTGACTCTACATGATGGAAATGACAAGATCGTTACGGATGTGACACAACCGTAGAAAGCACAGATTAAAACATATTTATTTAGTTAATCATGGTCAAGTTTTTGTAAAATGAAACAGAAAATATAAAATTAAAGTAAAATATGGAGGTTTCCGCCTTTAAGGAAATAGGACAATGTAAAATTGCATAAATTGCCATATAAAGATTTTCAGCGTTCGGATATGACGGGGAATAAACATACTATCGAGATGATTTGCATAAAGTTTGATTAAATCTGAAATCAGTGTTAACTACTTACGTGCATAGAAATTGCGGACAGCGTTAACTACGTCATAGCGTGGCGATTTTATGGAGCTCCATTTATGACATATTCAGATCTAATATTTACGTTACGGATATGACAACAGAACTGGGGACATAGATTTCATGAAAGTAAAATTGAATTATCTGAAATTTGCCGATGCAGATTTTTATATGAATCGTGCATAAGAGTAGAATTTATTATTTTAAACATAATCAACCAAAAATAGATGCCTTGAAAAGATAAATATTGATTTTCATCGAATGATCGGGGACACCACATTTTTGGCGTTCCGGGATAAGATAGTTCAAATAAATATATGTTTAAAGTAAGGAAATGGATTTCTGCTTTATTTCTTCATTGAATTATTTTCGACGGTAAATATTCAAATATTGGAGTAGGTATCTCATCATGATTTACGGATAAATTAAAAGATATTTGTTCGGGACACGATTGGCCGGGATTACCGGAGAATGACCCATATATGCTATCGAGACTTAAATTCAAACTTCACTGGACGGTCGGGATACATTAAAATCTTATACTGTTGATGAAATTCTGAACCCCTCCATTGAGGTTCACAATTCTGAATAAATTTACTGATTAAAACATAAAGATCTTGCTCAGCGAATCTTCTTCCTACACACATTCGAGGTCCTCTACCAAACGGAAGCAGCAAATAGGGATGTACATCCACAGCATGTTCCCAACCGCGCAACCACCGTTCAGGGCAATAATTTTGAGGATTCTCAAAAATATCCGAATTTCTATACATGTTAAAGGCATTTATATTTAGTTTCGAGCCAGATGGAATTTGGTAACCACCCAAGACCATGTTATTTTTGGTAACTCGTGAAATTTCTAGAGCATTTGGATGTAATCGGAATGTCTCTTTGACGCAGGCTTTCAGGTACGGCATTTGAGCTATATCAGATGCTGCTATATATTTTCTGTCTTCCAACACGTTGTATATTTCTGTGAACAGTTTCTCCTGGACTCTAGGAGACTGTGATAAACAGAATAAAACTGATATTAAAACAGGAACCACGGTTCTTAATCCATCTATAAACATTGATAATACTATCACTTCCATATCTTTCTTAGATAAATTCTTATGACCTAACAATGAATATAGAAAACGATAAGTATTTTGTACTTTTTTTGGTTCGCTCGAGGAGTCTAAGTGCGTCTCCAAAAATTTAAGTACGTTCTCAAAATAAACGGATGCAACTTTGGTGGTGTAATTTTCAGCTTCATGCCAAGCTTTATACTTGGGAGTCTGTAATTGTTGATAGAAAGGAAGGGAAAATTTCAAGTCTGTGGCAAGCGTGAACGCCTCATCATTCTTTTTCACAACTTTCACACCTTCGGCTTCTTTCTCAGAGCCACCTTCCATGTACCCGAGCCGCTTACCGAAGCTTATGTATCCAGAGGATTCGAGGCTCCAAATAGAAGCATCCAAAATAAAATCATCGCTATATCCCTTTCTCATTGTTTTATCAACAAATTCATTGGCTACCTCGTTGACTTGTGGAAGGTAGTTGGAAACTTCGCCTGGTCTCATCATGTGTTTCTGAACTGCTGATCGCAGTCTGTACCATTGTTCATCATTCGTATTACCGAGTCCTAATGACATACCTTCATCACATCTGGATTTCTGTGTTGGCTCCATCAAAGGCTCGATTTCTGGGTATTTTCCTTCATCTTGGTAAACAACTTTTATCATATCCGGATGACAAACATGAACTACTGTTTTGTCAAATAGTGTTTCTTTAAAGATGGGACCATATTTAGAAAAGTATTCTTCTAAAATATCTTGATATTTATATTTATCTAATCTACCAGTCATATAGTGAGGTAAAGTTCCAAGATATTTGATACCTTGAGGACCAGGAATATCTTCAAATGGTAAAGCTTGGTTATAGTCTGATACATCATTACTATTAACAGCACGGCCTTCTGATCTGGAGATACCCAAACTGGTCGAGATCCAGCATCTTTTAATTCGATTCACTGAAATATATACAGAGAGTAATAGAGTTATTATCTTTCTTGGGGCTCGTATACACAAGGTGACTTAAGTCACAACGTGACACTTGCACGATTTCTGTTTGCGCGATGCAACGCACTTCTGTGTGTTAATAATGATGTGTGCCCAAATGGAGTGTGGTGCGTTCCATGTCGTAGAAAGAATTTTGAAATGTTCAAAATGTGACACACACAAGCTACGTGACACTCGCGCAAAAACGGCTCAAACACTACAAAACGTGAACTGATCACAAACAATACTTAATTTATGCGTAAATAAGTAGTGTTAGATGGTGATGAGAACATAGTCTCATGAAAGCACTAGCCCAGGTCACAAAGTAAAGATTTATGATAAAACAAGGTGCAAGTTAAAGCTTAATTAGATATGTTAACTAAGGATGTCTCTGTAATACTATCTGTGGTAGTAGCCTTTCTTTAACTGAAATAGCTGAAAATAAAAGAGTCAACATTCTTCTGATATATCAATAATCATCTAAAGATAAAACCTGTATTGTGAAACAAAAAAACTGTTCATGTATCTATAAGAAAATAAGAAGCATTAATATGAATAGTCATCGCAGGAAATTCAAAAAAAAAAGTCAGAAATTGTAAGGCTATTGAGGGTTAAATCTACCATGGACTAGGATATTACTGAAATTTGTATTTCTTCTGTAAGTTGTAACAAGTCTCTTGCTATAGATATTGGTCTTAAAGATTCTGGTAGTGGCGCCTGACGATATGAGAGGCATTAGTGGCAGTATGATTGTAGGTGGTGACAAGGGTATTATCGTGTTGAATATTTAAGCCATTAGGATATACAGTTTGAAGTTGGTCCATCCAATAACTCTCGCGTTGTAATCTTCTTTGCTTTGGCTTGATATTCGACATAGATTGTATCTTTTCAATTGGCTTAATCAACAAGTCTTCAATGGAATGGTCGGGCTGGTTAAAGTGATTGGAAATTGGTCTGTTTTGCTATGTACTATATCGTAACGATGGCCGTTAAAGCGAGTTCGCAGCGCGTTCTTTTTTTCTCCAATATACTGTATGTCGCATTTTGTACATGAAATTAGGTAAATCAGATTTTGGTCTCCGCATGAAATTTGGTCAGTCGTTAAAAAAGTGTCATTGAGTGTCAACGTGTGTCCCTGCGGCAAATTTTGTGGTCGTGCATTGCGTATATGATTTACTTATAGTGTGTGCAAACAGCCCGCTGCGCTACGGCAGTGGCTATTTACCACTGGCGTGGTAAGCGTGACAAATACTCATAAGTACCCTTAGAGCTATATACCACGGCGTTGTAAATTGTTAAATTAGGCCAATGATACCATCTTAGTCTATGGAGAAAAAACGTGGTACCGGTATTTAAATTATACCACGTTTTTTTTTATTTGTTGGATTTCATCACCTTGTTAGCTCACTAAAATAAGCATTTTAATATCCCTAACGAAGGAAAATATCCGCCATATTTAATATCGGTGACCGTGGTTTTCGGGCATTTTGGACGCTAAATTTCACAGTCCAAAACATTTCTTCAATCGCTATATGATGTGAACCATAAGGAATGCGTCAGCAATTAGTTTATATATACATTTTAAAGCTATACTTTTGACAGACTTTTATTGAATTTTTAAATTCCAAGCTATAATACTGTATATTCCTGGTTCCAAGCGTGGGTTTCTTTTCATCCCCTGAGGTGTAAGGTGCGACTAACTATTGTAGGAGAAGAATTATAAAGTTTCAGGATTTCTGGTGCCCTTCAACACGACGAACCCAAGCGAACCTCGACACTTTAGTCATAAAAACTAAAGCCAGAAATAGACTCAATGCGGCCGATGATTATCATAGGATTTGTCGACACTGTTCCTATATTTGGACTGTTGTTGCAAGGAAAACAACAAAGTCTTCGGAAGAGTCTTCCTACTGAACATTATTATGAATGGAAAATAAATCATAGGATTTGCAATGTTTTGATTGTTATGGAAATGTGTTCAGTCTGTAGCTTGTAAATACTCGAGAAGGCACAATTCTTAACGATTTGAACGAAACTTGATGAAATTGTTTATTATCACCAAACGATGAACCCTATCACAATATAACTTGTTCTTTAGTTAGTAAATGTAAAATGTACAATTATTGATAAATTTAGATAAATTTACATGAAACTTCATAAAAACCATTTAGAAACCTCATTAAAAGTGTTGAAAAATATGTAATTAGTTATTTTGCTTGTTTTTTTGAAAAGCGTTCCATTTCAAGCTTGAACACACTCTTACAGTTCGTGGCAAATTTGGACGGAATTATTAATTTTCATGGGGTTTAACGTCCTACTTTTCTGTTTCACTTAAAGAAGAGCCGTATACCAAACCAAAAAACGTTTGAAAGAAGTGTATGGCTAAGGGTTGAATATAATGAAATGGTGATGGGTTAGGATGAACCCTATTGAAAAAAAAAATGGGAAATATCAAATATGTGGTGTTTCTTTTGTTTTCCATATTTAATTTAAACAAAACTGACAAATGTTACATTGCCTAAAAAAAAACATTTAGCAACCTCATTAAAAGTGTTGAAAAATATGTAATTAGTTATTTTCCTTGTTTTTTTGAAAAGCGTTCTATTTCAAGCTTGAACACACTCTTACAGTTCGTGGCAGATTTAGACAAACACTATCAATATCTGTATCATTACTGATCTCTACTACAAACTACAGTCAAACACTGTCAATATCTGTATTATTACTGACCTAGACAACATACTACAGTCAAATACTATCAATATCTTTATTTTTACTGACTTTGACTACATACTAATCAAACACTATCAATATCTGTATCATAACTGACCTTAACTACATATTACAGTCAGACACTATGAATGTATGTATCATTACTGACCTTTACCACATACTACAATAAAAAAGTATCAATATATGTATCATTACTAAACTCTACTATATACTACAGTCAAACACTATCAATATCTGTATTATTACTGATCTCTTCTATATACTAGTTTCAAACACAGATAATTCTGGACACACGTGAGTTTGAAGGCTCAAATTTTGACGGTGAGCTCTGAACACTAGTACTGATTTGCTTAGCAAAATAAAAATCCCGTTTCTGAGACTAATATATGATTGGTTAAAAAATTGGCGTAACTGTCCCTTTAAAAAAAATATTTGTCCTGGGTGCAGTAAAATTGTTCAATGCTGCATGAATCAAGATGAAAAGTGGGCCATGTTACCACTTTCTTGAAAATTTTAAGGAATTTTTGCGGTTTTTACATAATTCCTTTGTTTCGAAGTTCATGTTAATTCTGGACACTTTAAGGAATATAGAATCGTTTGCAGAAACAACATGTGTTAGTGAAGGCAAGTTTCTGGACGACAAATTGGAAATGGTTCGAATGAAAGACTAGCAAGTCAGAATTTTTTAAGTCAAATGATAGCTTTTTTAATTCATAAGTGACCAACTTCGACAATATAACACATATTTAAACATTTTGTTCAAACCTTGTGGATTATTGATCATTGTATCACAAAATATTGTGGAGCGAATAAACTCGGGGCGATCATGAAAAAGGCCGAAAATGTACAGGAGTGAACGCTTTTAACAGTACTGAGATAAATACAAAATTCTAACTTCATTACCTAGGTCTGCATTTTTATGGGATTTTTATTCTCAAATCACCTTAACACCGATAGGATTTTGTGGAAATATACATTTCTTTTACTCAGTGGCGTAGCCAAGATTTCATTGACGGGGGTGAGGGGCACCTTTGCCCCCTTTTTGGCTTTTATAGGGCACTACCCTCTAAATATGCCACTGTAGTTACTTGAAAAAAGGTATAGAAGACAAATTGCATAAAATGCAGGAATTCATTATCAAAATTATTCTCAAACAAAATACACTTACCATCATTTGGGTAAGATTAGTCCTGAATCGATTTTGAATAGATATACTTGTAATAAAATTCATTAACAAGGTTAAAAGTAAATTTTGACTAATTTGTAATTAAAATACAACGCGGAACTTTTTTTTTTTTAGATAGGTTTGAATTACGAAGTATTCAGCCTTGAACCGTGAACTCTTCAAAGTCGGCCTTGACATTTATATGTAAACAAACACGACTTTTTTTTTCAAAAAGCGAATTTTTGATGAACATGATGAGTTTTTGAATTCAAATTCGTTATTTTAAATATTTAGGTAGTTTTAAGCAATTTTTGCCGAAAGGAATATCAGATCATGACTAATTTTATTTACCACGCCGTGGTAAATAGCTGCAAGGGTACCTATAACTATTTACCACGCTTACCACGCCAGTGGTAAATTTATAGCCACTGCCCTGCGCTACGCTTCGAAAAACAGAAATTGCACGACTTGCCGCAACCTCTGTTGGTAAATGAGGCTAAGTGCAATTATATATATAGTGCTGTGCTTATATTTGGACCCACGTACTAATTCGACGCTAAGTGTAATAGGCCTTTTATCTTTTCTTTTGTAAATAAACATTTTTATTGAATAACTTTGAAATATTTTTAAAAATCCGTCTAGGTAATAATCGAAAATTAGGCAGGATTATCCATACAAAACTACATATATTATAGGCTATGGTACCTTCCTCGAAATATCAAGTTTCGTTTGAGATTTATCCTGTTCTAGGCCTATACCCCATTTCATGTCACATGAACAAAGAAAGAATCTTTTTTTTACATTTTTAAGTCCACACATACCAATTCATTTAACAATAAAAAGCTTTGTTTGAAACTTATATTTTAGAACGACAGTTTTTTTGGCTTATTACTGCAATGTCATCTCAATCCATAGGCTTATGATGATACGCCATATGCCCCTCATAAAAAAAATATAATTATGTACATTTTATGCGTACGATAAATCTCTCTTTATATAATTATATAGGCTGTAGGCTCTAAACATATTTTAAGAAATCTGTGAAATATAGTAGCCTTCTTACCAGAGAAGAAATCTGTGAAATATAGTAGCCTTCTTACCAGAGAAGAAATCTGTGAAATATAGTAGCCTTCTTACCAGAGAAGAAATCTGTGAAATATAGTAGCCTACTTACCAGAGAAGAAATTTTTCTGAAAATTTCTCCACATCTTAGGGATTTATGAAACACTTTAAGTACATGTATTGTACACTGTGCATATAGACATGTACATTATTGTGCAGACATATATGAGCGTTTCAATGTTCAACAAGCTTAGTCCATTGTAGGTCAAATAGGTATTATAGGGAGGTTGTAGTTCACGACCTGTATTACCCACAATTCATTGCGCGGCGCCATGTTCGATGGCTGAGCTATCACACTAACAGTAAATAATAATAATAATATTTATAGAAGATATTAGGTACATAACTATCAAAGAATAAATATATAAATTGATAAATAGCACTGGAAAAACAAGGGGTTGTTAAGTAAAAAGGACAATAAAAAATTATTTTTTTTTAAATTCCAACTGTAAATGAATGAATAAATTAATTAATGATAATTCAAACGACTGTAGCCTAATACCTTAGGATGACCCACACAAGTTAACAATAGACAAGTACAATGAATATTAAGATGATGAATCAAAAAAGGATTATAATGAAATATTTATTCTAATGGTGTTGATCCATTTAAACTAGGCAAAGCATTGTGGTCAGCAGATGCTTTGTTGTTTCCGGCACAACAAACTAAGTTAACTTCTCCAAAATTTTTCTCTTCCGTCGACTCGTATACGAACATAAAGACAACTCGTCTACAAAACCATATATTGTAATGCAAGATGTTAGGCCTATGAATGTTTATTTAACTTTAATGCTGATGAATCAATTTCTCATCACATGTCGGTCACTGGTATCTAGATTTACCAAGCAAGAACCATTAGTGTGTAGACTACTTGAGTCGCTATTGTCGTTTTTCAATCGGAAAGCTTAAACTTTTAAGACAAGAGAAAAAATCCGTTTTTGGTGTAGATATACTGTTGGAATATGTTTTCACCCTTCAAATTTGTAAGAAGAGACCTAGATCTATAGATATCATTTTGATCCGAAATATCGTCAAGCACAATGACTTTTAATTGTTCAGGTTAAAAGGTCAAATAAAGAGATATGTACGGAGCCCCTAAGGCGCAATTGTAAACATATTTATTTATCATTTCGTTTAAACGAAATAATTATTTCGTTTAAACGAAAAAATGAATTCGTTTAAACGAAATAACATCATTTATTTCGTTTAAGACGAAATAATATTTCGTTTAAACGAATTAATTATTTCGTTAAAACGAAATAATTATTTCGATTAAACGAATTAATTATTTCGTTTAAACGAATTAAGTATTTCGTTAAAACGAAATGTTATTTGTACATGTACAATGTACATTATTGTGCAGACATATAATTTGACGTTTAAACGAAATAATTAATTCGTTTAAACGAAATAATTAATTCGTTTAATCGAAATAATAAATGAATATGTTTACAATTGTGCCTTAGGGACTCCGTAGATATGAGCCTTAAAAGTTTCGAAAATTGCTGTTTCGACGCCTGTCAAACCGGAAGTAAATGTCGAAACATCAAGTATGAATCTTTGCAAAAGTCAAAGTCACTTATATTTAAGATCAAAAATAAAAAGTTGAAGATTGTAAAACCCATTCCTTTTTATTTTAAAGCAAAACGTATAAACAAGTGTAGTTTCATTACAAATTGTCTAAAGGAGTGGATTATTTTCATGCAAATGTTAACGGGTGCTCATTGCAGTCACATGGTGGCTCGAAATTTGCTGGCTGAGCGCCCCCTATCCTACAACTGCGCCGTTTATTTATACTACTTGTAGTAACCAAGATAGATTAATTCTTAATAAGGGCAAAGAATCAGAATATCGCTCAGTTCAGTGTTCGAATTTGACAGTTTTAGCTCCGTCACGCCGGAAAGGCGTCCTTACTGAACGGCGACGGAAAATTACAGCATGTTAAAGTCACCATGTCCCAAGCGTGGCATGAGAAGGGAGGTTATCAAAAATAGGGCCAATATTAAAAAAAACTATCATTGAGTGGTTATAAACACTTACATCAATTTTCATATAAATCAGTCAAGAGTGTTTACGAGCTAAAATTGAACGCGTTTTCAAAACCAAGGGAAATAACTCATACATGTAATCCACTTTCCACAGATACCAAAACCATGCAAATCAGACTTACCCCCGAGGCCCCATTTTGAGTTCTACAAAAATGGTCATATAAACATGGCGGAAATCCTTTATTTCCGGATCGGATTTTATTATTCTACTACTTTATAAACAAAATTCTACCTTATTGCAAAAAGAATTTTTGAAATACATGTAACTTCAAAATTCCGGAAGTTGAAATTAACGAATAACGTCAAAACAGGAAGTAATTTTGAAAATTCATTTTATTTTATCAAATCGTTTGATAGAACACACTGCAAGAACATCCCAGACTTTGCCATAGTTTGTGTTAAAATGGTGCCAAAACATCTTCTTCATGTGATATTTTATTATCATATATAGCCTATATACAATCTGTCTCTCATACAAATACAAATGATAACATAATTTTGGACTGTGTGCCATTATTTTGTCTTAGAAATAAAACATCTTCATGTCCACAGAAATATTAGGTTCAGTGATTTTACATTTAAAATCATTTCACTCCAAGCAAATTCACTTAAAATGATCCTGAAAATTATGTTCCGATTTTAAAACACTGGTTGGTTTTTGTCATTATTCTTCTGGTAAGTCTATAAAAGGTTTGGCCTACCCGGAAGTCCATCCTTTTTAATAATCATCTACGTCATCATCTGAGTCAGAAATATCAATAAGTGGACAGTATCGTTTACTGCACGACGATGAACAATCGTATGGACAATCATTGCTAAATATATAGTCTTCAGACTCGTCCTTAAACTCATGTTCTTTCATAAGAATATAATCCTCAATTTTATCTGGAAGCTTAAGATGCTTTATCTTTGTTTCAGGACACTTTCCCAACAAACGAAAGATCCGACTTCGACATAAAGCTCGCAAACTTCGTGTATTGCTACTCTGTGTGGATAGCCATTCTAGTATAGGCAGCTTCCTATAGATCGAAACTGGCCACTGATTTTGAATAATCCACTTTTCTTTCAAAAATACTGGATAAACGTCGACCAAAAGCTTCATTAGACGGAACATTGCCTCATTTGTTGCTAATTTGAAATAAGAATCGAGGTCCCTTTTCCTTCGGATTGAACAGCCTTCTTTCACAAGCATCAGAGCACAATTTTCATTATGTACATAAATGGCATGCTCCAGAGGCTTTTGCATGTAGCGAAACATTTTGTCCACTTGATATCCGTAACGTACCAGAAGTCGTATCATCGACGGTTTATTTTGATGTAAGGCCACAGTCATAGCTGTAGCACCATGCTTAGTAGCAGCATGTAATTTAATGTTATTTTGTAACAAGAGTTCGCATATATCATAACGAGAATAAGACACTGCAAAATGGAGAGCTGTTAATCCATCTGCCGTCTTGAGGTTGATATTACATAAAGAATTGATTAGCATTTCACATACTTCCACATTGTCTGCTTTTATAGCTCTAAAAAGTAAAAAATGTTACCGGTGTTATTTCATATACCGAACTAAAAGTCTAAAGTCGCTATACGAATGTCGACTTGATAAACCCCATTGCAGTGTGACACAGGTACCAGAATTGTGAACTTTAATTTATATAGGAAGATGAACCTTGGATGAATTTTGCATGGAAATGCCTTAAATTTCTTGTGATTATACAACCACATTGACCAACTGGAGACATTAAAATGTAAGACATTGGGACAGTGTTTCTGACCACATGTCCAAATTTCTATGTTTTAGACTATACATTGATAACAAAATGAATCTACTAAAAGTATAATAATTATATTTCCAAACCTGATGAGAGATGTTTCTCCCGTAGGCTGATACTTGTAAAATACCACATTTACATCCGCTCCACCTTCAATTAGTAACTTAACAACCTCACTATTATTTCTTACAATGGCTTGAAAGAGGGGACTGCATTCTAAAATATATTAATTAAACGTTAGCAATTTGAAAAATGTGGGAAGAGTCATCTGAATAACAGGAGCCACAGATGTTGGAAGGTCATCTGAATCTCTGAATGACGGAAACCACGGCTGTCGGATGAGTCATCTGATTCACAAGAATCACAACTGTTGGATGAGTCATCTGAATCACAAGAACCACATATTTTGGATAAGTCATCTAAATCACAAGAACAACAGCAGTCGGGTGAGTCTTCTGAATCACAAGAACCACAGATGTCGGATGATTCATCTGAATCAAGAGTCACAAAAAATGAAATGAAATGAATGGAGTTTTACGTCCTACTTTTCTGCACCATGTGGGCTAATGAAGACGGGCAACGCCATACAGGGTGCAATGAGGGAAATTTTGCAAGGACAGCGGCATTAGCCTGCTCTTTTCCGATTTCCGACTGTCGAGGGATCTTTAACGTGCACAGCCTGTAGCACACGGGGCCTCGGTTTATTGTCCCATCCGAACGACTAGACGCTTTTTCCATGTCAGCCCCTCATACTTGCATCACTGACAGGAGGAAACCGAAGGTATTATCTCGACCTATGCCGGGATTGAACCCTGGACCTTCAGGTCAGCGAGCAAGCTTCATCAAGAGTCACAGATGTCGGAAAAGTCATCTGAATAGCAGTAACCACAGATGTCCGAAGAATCATCTGAATAACAAGATGCACATAATGTTGGACGAGCTCTGAATAACAGTAACCATTGGATGGTTCATCTGAATAGCAGTAACGTGTTGGACGAGTCATCTGAATAACAGTGAGCCTAGCCATCGGCCGGCCGAGTCATCTGAGTCAACAGTAGCCTAACCACGGATGTTGGATGTTATTTGAGCAGTGCTCCAGATTGACATACAAAAACCAAGAAAGCTTTTTTGAATCCTGTATAAATTGAAATCAAAAAGTTTTAGAGAATTTAGTTCTTTTAGACGTTAAGGCACACTTATGAAATGAACAGTTTAATTACCCGAATTGTGATCAATATAATTAACATCACATCTTCTAGTTGATAATAATAACTTAACTAATTCTGTATTCCCAGTCTCAATACCAATCCTTTAACGATACAACATACTGTTTATCAATCAAAAATCATATACTTATTTATCAAATATCGGATCAGTATTCGTTTATCGTTCTTCTTGGTGTAAGATGATTTTAGGATCGGATACCTTTCTAGCAACATACAGGATCGGCAAATTGGGTATCTATAGGTACTTACCAAATTGGTCGAATACCTTGAAGGCATTCACCATTTACATTAGCTGGGCTGTATTTATTGTGCAAAAGCAGATACACAATTTCATAACAATATTCCAGGCAGCTAAGCAACAACGCCGGTCTCTGTAACGGGTCCGTAGGATCATGGACATTCGCATCGAACGATTTCTTCTTCAATATCTTTTCAACCAATTTGATGTTTTTAGATTTGATAGCTTTAAAGATATTTTCTTCTTTGGTTCCATTTGCCTTTGGTGGCATTGTCCTGAAAATTAATTCTATTTTCAAAAGAGGCAAAGATCTATTTTCCTTTCTTTATGCAGGGAAATTGAAGAAACTAGATTATTTAGAATTTAGCTAATTAGAAATAGTGTTCACAGTTCACCGTCGAAAATTTTGAGTCTTCAAATCCATGTGTGTCCAGAATTATCTGCGACTCGTCAATTCAAGATAATAGAAAAGACATATATAGAAATAGTTTGAAGTATTTTTAAATAAATACAACCAACTGACTCAAATCAATCCCCCGAAATGGCACACCTGTCCCTTTAAGCTTTTAGTTAACCAAAACAAAAGAGCAATCTAGTAATAGTGACCGAAGCTATTCCTGATCACAATCTCTAGCTAGTCCATAGACATAGGCATAGAGTGGAATCAAGAGAATACTCAAGGGTCAGTTCAGTTCAAATCTACGAGTTCCTTTTTAATAATCTATCGTTCATATTATGCGCCTGAGGATTTGCCAAAAATATTAAATACCCATAGTGTATAGGCAAATTAATCCTGTTATTTAACACAGTTCATGTAGAAACATGAATCTTAGCCTTCTGTTGCCAATAAGCGATAGGCCCACTCTCTGGTAAGTGTATTTTCTTGTAATCTCTCTGATCACTTATTCTATTTCTGTTAAATGAAAATTTTGTTAGTCATACCGATTTTTGTCTTGTTGCTTCAATGATATTCCCAATTCCAATTTCTTGCTATTTGTTGGTCTCCCATACGTAACAACCCAGAGCTTGAATTGCTATTTATAGAAATATTTTAGTGGCCATTTCATTGGCTAAAAATGCAAGACTCGATTATCAATCAAATAATTTTTAGGAGTAGTTAAAAAGTCTTGGTAATCAAGCCCTTCATGCAAGTTCAAAGGTCACCAAAATGTCGGAGTAAACAAAGCTTTCAAAACTTGTAGGTAGTTTGATATGTCATCTCATATTTCTAAGGAATAGCGAAAGAATGGATCGTAGTAGATTTTGCTTATCTTAAAACTGTAAGCACAATGCAACTTGCATTTTATTTGCATGCTTCTTTATTTACTAGAAAGTCAATCAAGTTTCCTATGGACGCAAGCCTACATTTAAACCTACTTACAGTTTTTACCAGCTCAGTATGCAGTTTTTTCGATGTTAATATTAATTTCCTTTGTAGAATTGTAACTTGAAGAAAATGCATTTGTCAAACTGTAAAAGTTCAAATGAATGTTGGTAATTTTGAAAATGATTTGTAAATGTTCATTACAAGTTAAATTGTCAATTTGTCAACTTTAAAAATGTAAAATTATATAAGCTCGATGATGAAATGACGTTTTGCGAAATGTTGATTGTAAAAATGTAGATGTTACATTTGTCAGTTTGGATCAAGATATCGGGCATTGATATTGACAACGAAACAATTCCATAGCTCAGTGCCAGTGTTTAATTTGATCATAAGTTTAATGGACTCATAAGGGCAGGTTAGGTCAGGTTATCAACATTTGCAAGCAGTCAAGCCTATACCAAAATTATATTTCACTGAGTGTTACTCAACAAAATCTTTACCAATAGGCCACAGAGAAACACACCAAGATTAGGAAGATTATCAGTAATGAAAATCTAAAAAGTATTTGCATCTGTTTTAAAAAATTTTTAAAGTTGAAAGTGATCAACTTAAAACAAGTTGAAAAATAGACGGCAGATTTTCAATGATTTTGTATTATTGACTCATTCATGACACTGTCATAGTTAAAAATATTATTTTATATTTCAGATATTATAAAGAATGATTTTAGTCATCAGTTTTTCATGTCTGCTATGTTTTCTTGCATGGGCATTATTTTATCCAGAACCACCAAAAGTTAAAAGCAAGTACAGTCAACCAGGTTAGACTAAATTTGATATAAATATTTCTCATATATTCAGATCATAACGACATATTTTTCACTTGTTTCCTTACTTGTGTGTGAAGCTTGTTTTAGGGGCAGACATTGAAAGCTTCTGTGCTTTCAGATAAGCGAAAACATGTTCCATACCCCTTGATATTGGAAATTAAAATAGCATTTCAGGTATCCTAGCAACATTCTCCTCATTGCACACTGCAGTATGGTGCTACCAGTAAACTGGAAAACTGAAAATGTTGGATGTAAAACTCCATCTCATATCATGGTCTTGCACATCTTGTCCAATCAGGAGAAGCAAGTAGGATTTACAACGCCATTTCATGTCATACCATTGTCCCCATTGACTTTTCATGACAAAGCTACCATCTGATAATTTTACATTGATATCTTTCATAGATGAGATGTTGGTCAAATTTGAATATGACAATATTAAGCTGGATGTTTATTGAGTTATCTTTCTTGATCATGTAAAATAATGTTGTAGGAAAATGGTATTGGATGAAAAGATTGATATTCCATGTTCTATTATGGCTAAGAAAGAGAAAACAAGGAAAATCCAAGATGGATGATATATCTGGTATAAAACAAGGTTATGGTATCAGTGAAACTGATCCAGAAACAATTGAGTCTCCCCAGCCAGTTGATTACCATCCTTTTGTAAGTAAACCTTAGTGGTTATAATTTATTAGATTGTGGAAAACAGATTGATTAAGGAGTGGAAATCTTTGAAATCAGTCTGAAATTGTAAAAATTGTTTAATGTACATACATGTATATTAGTTTACAGCTCATTTCATTTTGCTAACACTTGTTTAGGATAACAAGCCTCACCAAGACAGCTAGTCTTGGAAGTGGAGGTTGATTTTCTGATATAGGATTTCAGGCCATGAGCAAATGTTAGCACACACTCTTCATAGAGAATTCTCAACATTATGAAGGAAGAATTTACTATGCTACTTCATCAGGACAGAATTTACTATGCTACTTCATCAGGACAGCTAGTTCTGGAAATTTTTCCAATACAGGAAATCATGAATTTGAGTAACATAAGCACATGCTCTGAACAGGAGTGTGAAATCAAAAGTGAGAATATTATATAGTACAAAAAATACACTCCTGTATATTCTACCAGAGTTCATCCTATGCTACCAGCTGAAAAATTTGTATTTGAATTCATCTAGGCAATAGATACAACCTACTTCGCTGCTTTTGGACCTGATGGTACAAACCTAGTGATGAGAGTTGCCAGAAGACCAGACAGATGTGCTGAAATCTGGTTATTTCTAGATCTACCTGGTATTGGCCAGTTTCAACATCCTGTACATCCCGATGTCTTCTTAGCTAATACTAATGGATCTTCCTTTGAATGTGCTGGTCTAAAATTTGAGATGTTGGAACCAATGTTAAGATGGAAAATCAACTACAGTGGTCTGATGAGGTACTTTTGTTTGGTAGTCATCTACATGTCAACTCATCAACAAACTTGGGTTAACTCGTCTACAAACTTTGTTGATGAGTTGACATGTAGACGAGTTGACTTGTAATCCTTTTGTTTACACATTAGAATATATTTTTATAGTACTGGATGGATAAACAAAGAAGACTTTTTGACCTTTCTCGATCGGTCACTCATTGGAATTTTGCTGGTAATTATCTTCTAATTTAGCTAATTATGAATTAATTATGGACATGTGAGACAAACTGGTATTTTTCCAAGTCATTACAACATCTCTACTTTCTTTTCATATAAGTATTAGCTTTGTCTTTTTCATAATAAAAATAAGGGAACCCATCTTTAATATTAATCATCATTTGATGAACATAGATCTTTGGGTGGAAAATATTAAAGCCAGCCAGACCTATAATGTGATTACTATCTTTTAGTCTACCCCAAAAAAGTATATTGTGTGTGTTAATGTTTTGAATTTCTAGATTTGCTTAACATTACATATAGGCTTCTCTCAGCTTTGAAATATTGTTAGAATCTACTTGTATACTAGAAATCACTTTGTTTGATATTTATTTTGTCCTTTGAATTTTTAGAATTGGTTTATGTAATGATGTTAACAACAAACCTGAACAATATGCATCAGTACAAATGTCTTTTATGTAAGTGCTATTTATTTTTTTTATATGAGTCAGAGGTGCTTAGAACCTTTGGTGGTAGCAAAAATGCAAATATTCTTTTCAGCAATGCATGGGTAGTTGAAAAAAATTGGTAAATATGGCAGAATGAATTTGACTATTATTTTTTCAGATGGGAAAATATAAGTGATTGTTTTAATTTTGATACTGATCTGAGTGCAGGCTTGATATGTGATGGCATAGCAAAAGAACCATGGACCAAAGAATTTCTTCAAAATATTCAAAGGTTTGTACTTTCAAAGACTTATTTTCATATACATACTGACAATCCAGTAACATCTCATGGTACAGTTACCTTTTGTTTACTTGGTTACCTCAAGGGCTCAATGAAAGCTTTATAGTTGTTAATTAAGACATTGACCTAAACTTACGAAGTTTTGGCAGTTTTACAGTTTTGAAATATCATCTGGTTATCATAAAATACTGCATTTTGACAAATTGATTCTGATCTAAAATAAACTTGTATTATATGAACAATTCATTATTCATTAAAGACTATATTTTATTTCAACTATATTTAAACTATTTTGTATATTTGAAGCAAACATCAAACACATTATGAACAATGGGGTGAACTACATGGTACAATATCTATAGAAGGTCATGAAGAAAGAACAGTTAGACTGAAAACTTTACGAGATCATACTTATGGTAATATTTTTTGCTCTATTTAAGATCTGGTAATTTCTCTCTCGATAGGCAAAGACAAGAAAAAGTTCAAGAAAAGTCTACTGGGTCCTGTTACTGACAGTTGAAATTTTTGTCCATATTGGATTTTTAGAAAATTGTGGTCAGACTTGTGGTAAAATATCTAACTGTCTAAATGTATATCAACAACCATGTCTAACAGATATGAAAATATTGTTTTGGTTGT